ATTCAGTATGTAAACAGTTTTGTTTTCTTTGGATTGTTATGGTTGTTAAAATAAGCTTTTTTGTGCACTAAAGGTGGGTGTTCTCTATTCAAGAAAGATTGAAATTAAGTTACTAGACCTTCTTTCAATCCCTGTTATCATTTATCACTTTTTATTATGATATCCATTTATGTTATTTCATGGAAGTATTCAATACATTTTCTAGACAACACTAGAGGAAGCATCACAAACTTAAAAACCATATCAGATTCAATTTCAATATGGTACTGTATATCTTGTATCTCCCTGTATAACTTTGTCTAAATCTTAGTAGTCTTGTACTAGCCATGTCTCTGTTACCCATACAGTCAGGAGCAGATGGAAAAATGAAAGTATTTACAATAAAATGTTTTGCGTTATTTAAACAATGTTTACCTACAACTTGTGTGGGTTTTTTGATTAATATCAAGGTAACTGACTTTGCATGCTGTCCTTCAATGAAATTGTAAATGCTGACAGAATTATTTAAGTTCCTTGGAAAGGTGATATTTTCACATTTTCTTTGTTTACATCTAGTATGTTTTAAACTTTCAGTGCAACAATCCCCAAACCAAAGAACCAAAATTAAAGGCTGCTGCCCGGATAGTTCCTGAGTGGGTTGACTATGACTCTGAGATACGAAAGTTAATACAGCAAATTGAAAAAGAGAAGAAAAATCTAACATCGTTCTCTCAAAAAGGTAATTTACATGCATATTCATCTGTTAGCTTTTAAAAAATAAATAATATAGTTGAAAATTAAGATCAAGGTCAGTAGGCATCAATACTGTGTTTATGTATTTCCCTGCTCTTAAGAGAAACTGTGTGGGTTTTAAGAGTTGCATGATGCTTCTTTACACAGGAGTTACACTAAGGATAAAATCTTTTGTTTCATGCCAGAATCTAAGAGAAAATTTAGTGGTGTCCTATACTTGCATCTCAAACACAACCAACTGTTCCACATCATTTGAGCCACAAATATTAAATAAAGCACATTAGCCTAGACTTCACTTAGAGAATCTAAGGCTAATTAATGTCTATTAAGTAGTAGGTAACTGAGTCTCTATTAATTTGTCTCTGCATCTCTCTCTCTGGCTTACCTACATGGGGCCTTTTTGCACCAGACTAAATGGTGTTTTAGTTTACAAATAGGTTTGTTTGTGGTTTTGTTTTGTTTTTTTTTTTTTACTAAATTATTTTAAACCAAGTTAGATAAATAGCATGAGAAAAAAACCCAACTCTTACAGGACTTCCAGTAAGACTTGACTTCTTGGAATAATGTGAAACAAAAAAAAAAAAAGGTGATCTCAGCTCTCAAGGTTGAAGAAACAATTTAGCAGATAAACATTTAAGTGTCTTGAATCAGGGAACAACTTCACTTTTCGTTATAAAGAATTCTTAGTAGTTTTTACTCTTTGTGAAAGCTTATGGTCAACTTTTAGCGAGGATCTAAAGGTGAAGTTCATGTTGCTCAACTGACCGACTAGCAGTAAATAGAAAGTAAAGGGTTTTCTCCATGTTTTGCAAAACTAGTCATTAAGTCTGTATATAACTGGTTTTGATAATTTTTTTTCTCCTTTGGTTACAGGTCTTAAGCATGATGAACTTTAGCACAGCCTGTAAACAGCAATGGTGACGGCTCAACCATCTTCTGTGAAAGACTGAATGGGAAGTTACGAATGTTACACTGGCACTATTTGTAACATTCTTTAATGTGAAGTCAAATATTTTATAACTTATACTGTTATTTAAAATGTTTTAAATGAAATACAAAACCAGAAGAGAAATCCACAGGTACTTCATCTTTTTTTAAATGGTGAAGAGAGGCTTTCTTAATTTCTTTGGTTTTCTTTTCTCTCACTAAAAGACAGTTTGCCCAGAGGATTTTAGAATATAAAGAATGGTGTCCAACTCTTCAAAGATATATTGTGTCAGTCTAGGGGAGGACACACACATTAAATATGTACATGAAAACTGTTTTGTGCATATTACATGCATTAAGCTAATGTATTTAAATATAAAGAATTTTGGTTATATGCCCATAGTTTTCTCCCTGGAGAAATGCTGTGGTCATAAGAAAAAAATCTCAGCATAGCAAAGATAAGACATAAAAAACCAGCTTGTGTAATTTAGACCACAAAAATCTAAGTCAATGTGGGAGCTTACTAAATCAAGGAATGTCACTTTTCATTTATTATGCAGGATTGCTGCACTCTTACTAATTTAAAAAAATCTTTTTTGATTCTTAGGCGCCTTTTGGTCACTCAAATAGTATGTCATAAAATTCCATTATGTTTTTTGGTTACAATGGTTTTCCAACCAGCATACATAGCATCAGAAGGTTGGTACCTGAAAGCTGTTTCCACTCAGTTTTGATAATCATCATCCTGTTTAGAATTGAAAATAAAATACGTGAGTAATTTTGACTGTCAGTGGTGTCTCCTGTAACTTTCTAAATATGCACTCACAAAACTGTTGCTTTAATGGGCTGCTGACATTTTGATCCCAGGAAAACAGCAGTAAAAAGTTCTTGCAGTACACATTTTAAAATAGGGAATTTATTTCTTACACTGAAGTCTAGTGCCTTAAATACATACTCTGTTGTTTAGGCTGTGCTTGTTTCAAAATAATTGGATATGACCACAAATTCTTATAAGAACAACTTAATGTAGCCTTTCATTCTTGGTGCTTGAAATTATAAGAGATTTGCACAAAGTGGGTGAAATCACAATGATTTGCATAATATTTCCATACCAGCAAATAATTGAATAAATAAGAAAAATTAAGCATATTTTGCATGTACTGTCATTGTTCTCAGGTGTTGGTTACTTAAAATTTCTTACTGTAAGAGCGAGTATTTAAAATCATGCTTAGCTGATATTTTACAAGTCTTGGTAATACAAGACATGCAAATTTTTTTACAGCTTTTTATATTTTTCATTGTATTACCTTTATGCATTTGAACAGTTTTAACATCACATATGGATTTTAAAAGGTATGTTGTGGGCATTTTCTTTGTATGAAGTACCCAACGAAGTATTTCCTCTGTAACCCATCAGCAATAACCAGTAAATGCTCATGTCAGTTCTCTTTAGCTATCCCATTTCACTGCAGTATCTGTTATGCTTGTTCTCCAACATACTACTTAATGATATCAGGCAGCAAGTTGAACATATTTGAACACAGAACTTCTAGAAGGTATAAAAATACCAACTTAAAGATGGACTTATAATTGACTCAGCAGATCTATATGCACCATTACTATAAATTCAATGCGTAACAAGGGAACAACTGATACTCTGTATCAAAGAAAAAAAAACATACTGCTTGCTGCTTTTTTTTTCTTTTTTTAAGGTTATACTTCCATCCTGATGCTTTACGCTGTAGCACTGTTTCACATCAATCTGCCTTGGATTTCACGCTTGAGGTGTAAATTGGAAAACTTCTTTTTAAGCCAGAAGTTAAAGGTTCTTTAAGAAACCTTAGTTCTCTTTAATTATGATTATCTGTGTGGGAAATTTCTGTTATGCAGTATAAGAAGTGGGTAATACATGCACTGATTTCTTGTTCATTTTATCTGTAGCATCCTGTTCTTTTTAAAATTGGATTACTTCTACAGGCTTTAAAAAAGAAATAGCTCTTTAAATACTATTTCCTTGAGATTACTTAAATGATTAGAATGTAATTTTTAGAAATGTAATTTGCTGGAGATATATTGAAGTTTTAAAAGGTTTCATGCCATTTTCTACAGTGTTGTATGTATTTGTAAAAAATGTTTTACAGCATTTCTTTTTCCTGCATAATAATACATTCAAGGAAAGCTCTTTTTTGAGATATATATTGGTTTATAAAACAAAGAGAGTCTAGCAAATATATTCACTACTTTTCAAAGACCTCTTTAAAGCAGCACTTTGAATCATTACCATATCATTATATTTTTAATACCAACCCAATGGATTGTATATGTTGTACAAGATATTAAAAGGTACCACTGGAGAAAAAAATCATTATTTTCTGTTCTCCTATTTTGTATAATGCAATAACCATTAAATACTTGGTTAATAGAACCAAGGCAAAAAAATTGCAGCAAGTCCTCAAACCTCTTTAATCTGAAGAAGGTGTTTGTGCTGGGAAGCAATAGCAATGTTCAAAACTAAGAATCTGCTGGAGGGTGAGAACTGAAAGATACAGAGCGAGCTTATTTCTAGTTTCTAATCTCTGTGCTCTGCCCTGTGAAAGGGAAGAAAACACATCCTGGATTATACGAGTGTTAATGAAACCTGGTTCAAATCAGTAAATAAGCAAAGTAACATTTGAACTGTTAAAATGAAGAGTTTATACAATTTATATTCATATTACTATTACAGTGTCTTTTCTAGGTCTTACTCTTCTTAATACCAACTTGTAAGTTTAACAGAAAATGAACAAACCCGATGCTAGTGCAGTATTGTTGACAAGACAGAGCTTTAGTATTAAAAATATTTCTCAGTAAAGGTCTTTTTTAACCTTTTTCCTAAATCAAGCGCTTGCCTTCACACCGAGACTTCATAAAAATCAAGAATACGAGTTAGAAGAGACCACAGGGATCATCTGGTCCAACCTTTCTTGGCAAAAGCACAGTCTACACAAGATGGCTCAGCACCCTGTCCAGCCGAATCTTAAAATTGTCCAATGCTGGGGAATCCACCACTTCCCTGGGGAGATTATTCCAATGGCTGATTGTTCTCATTGTGAGAAATTTTCCTCTTGTGTCCAGTTGGAATCTCCCCGGGAGTAACCTGTCTTTTCCATGCGACTCCTTGTAAAAAGGGAGTCTCCATCTTCTTTGTAGACACCCTTTAAATACAGGAACATGGTGATAAGGTCTCCCCTAAACCTCCTTTTCTCAAAGCCGGAAAAACCCAGTTCTCTCAGCCTTTCCTCATACGGCAGGTTTCCTGGTCCTTTGACCACCCTTGTGGCCCTTCTCTGGCACTTCTTCTTCTGACACTTTTCGGCCATCTGCATGTTGAAAGTCTCCATTTGGGTTGTGAATTCCTCTCCCAGAGGCACAAGTTGCACAGTTAAAGCCACAGTCAGTATTGCTGAACCTCAATCTCTCTCTGCTGATGGAGGAGGTCTTGATTCTTTTGCCTTTGAATTCTCACTCTTTTGAATGAAGCATATTCTGGCAGCTTTTCATCACACATTGCCAGAAATATTGAAAAGGATGTCACAGAACTAGCTGTCATCAGTGTGTCACTCTGGACCAGATTTTGGGCTCTGATAACTGTAAAATACAGAGGTGCAGATGGTTTTTAAAGTGCCTTTTGCTCAACACAGAAATTATTTATATTCATGGCTTAAAAACAGAATCATTCAATGCTGCACTCACTCTTTTTTTAACCTAAAGACATGCATGAAAAACACATTAATAAAATTGTGTAATTAGTTACATGGTTGCTGACCTTTTATTATCAGATAATTATTTTCTTTCTTTGCAAGAGATAATGGTTCTGCACAGATGAAAGGCCAGAACAGTTCTGCAGGCCAGAAAGTGCTTAGTCTCTCTACACCTTTGAGGTGTTTTATCTCCAAGGATACAGTACCGTAAGGTCAGAGTTTCCCAGCACAGCACAATACGATTTAGCAGTGTGTAGACATTGCCTAGGCCAGCGAGTAGCCAGATTTGCACCCTGTGAAAGGGTTGTGGTAGACACTCCGATAGTACAAACTGCATCCTGAGCTGATGTTGGACTTCTTGAAAAGAGACCATCTGTGCTTGCAGATCCCTTCGTTTCAGCACAGAATGGTGGAGGTGAAAGAGAAGCAACCAAAACATCTCTCTTACAGACCTAAGGAGCAAAGGCACTTTCAGCAGGGTCATTTTTTTCTCCCACAGGTTTAGTTCTGAGAAGCCAGCTTTCAAACATGGTTCCTTTCAGTTGACTTGTCATATTGACTGTTTTTAACTTCCAGGTATTTAACAGACTGATGACACACAGTCAAGCTGACTCACTCCTTCAGTGTAATGTATCATCTCCTCTGCAATGTAAATGTTCTGTTTGGCCATGTGGATGCACGTAACACCTTTCAGCAGTGGTGTTTGTCAGGGCCCGTAGTTTTAGCTACTCATTCAAATGCATGAGGCACACTGTCATTCCACTATGATTTACCTCTCACATGGACATGCTGTGTAGTAACACCACATTTTCAATTCTTTACCACCCTTAACATGAGCCATCCTATAGCAAGCATCTGGCATTCTCTGGCAGTTACAACAGTAGGGAAACACATTTTGCCTGTAGAAAAATTCTTCACGTTTAGGAAGATGATGCAGGAGATACACCACTCTAGTGTTCTGAGAACTGACAGAACTTGGCAACATTATAAGCCCTGACAAACAGCTGCTCAGCTGTGACTCTACCAGTAGCTTCTCCTGTCTCTGGACATTGTGTGTCCCTTCTCTCCTCAGTTAGGTGGACACTCTGCTTAACAGCAATGAGCCTGAAGAAAAAAACCACCACCAGCCACACAACTGCCCAAAAACCAGCCCTACACCTCTGCTGCAACTCCTTCCCAAATCCTCAGAGAATTCAGATTTCAAGAATCTCTCCTAGACCGTAACTGCACCTCTTACTGTTGTGCTTTTTTGAGCTCAAGAAAGCCTGAAGTGCTCGGATCTACCACGTAGGCCACGGGTTTCCAAAGACAGACCACACCAGGGAATCTCACATAAAACCTGGCCTCTTAAAGAAGCCCTTGCTTCCAACCACCTCCCAAAAATCTCATCTCGCCTTCTGTCCTCTGTTCACCTTCACACATTTGGCAGCTGCAAGCCACGTAATTGTAAACTCAGACACCTCCGCTCTCAGCAGCTGTGTGCACCCATGCTCTTCACCACTGTACACACACACAAGCCGATGCGTACAATAAATTGCTTCCAACCAGGATACTCCTAAAAATTAACAGTTTCTAAGAAAGAGGTTAAGAAAGTAACAAGCACGTTTTGATGACTGATAAGAAGCTCGCTTACTTGGTCACACTGCTATTCGTGCGTGTATACACGCTCTGGATGCCTTCAGGTAGGACTCTCATCTTTACAGACGCCACAGATATAACTCCGCTTCATTTCTCACGTTGCTGCGCAGGGGTTATATTGGTGATTGAGCCCTCGGTGGCACTTTATGGCATCGTGTATGAATCGATGCTTTCTTCGGTGAAGTCACCAATGGAGTTCAAGCTCTACGGGAGTACTTTGAGGGCACTGACTGCTCGGAGGCCCATGATGCAGTTTCTGCTCCAGCCTCCTACAGACTCTGCCTTTGCAGAGCAGCGCTGCCTCTTGTTCCCTTTGCCTGGCCTTGAACCAAGCTGCTGCATAACTCACTCCTGCAGGCTCAACAACTTCTCACCCGCCTTCCAAGTTCTGGTACTTTTGTCAGCCCCATTGGAACACCTACTGGATTAAAAATAAACAGAAAACATCAGTTCACTGTCTTTAGTTTTCATCATTGCCTAGAAATCACACTTAGGGTAGGCGCTCGTCCCACACGGCCACAGCCACCCACCTTCTCTCCCCAGAGCTGACTGCGAGTTCCAGCCTCAGGAGAGTGGGCAGAGAAGATTCCTCCCCTCCCCTCCTGTCACTGGCAACCAAGGGGCCAGAGGCTTTCCCAGGACAGGCTGCTATCCAGAACAACTGGCTGCGATTTGATTCTGCCCCCCAGCCCCCCAGAAGAGAGCTGGGTACCGGCTGGGACAGTTTGTCAAACGCTGTCCACTACCTTCGACGTGTCCTGCTACCTGCACAGCTACAGGGAGAGGGGGCTGCACCCACCAGCAGGAGCTAGGAAGGAACAGGAAGAAAAGTAAGTTTTGAAACCCAAGTGTGAAGTATCCAAATGCTGCCTCACTCTGTACCGTACATGTTACAGCCTGACAACATTTGCAGCATTAGCTGCTTCAGAAATTTTAATTTAGACCCCACGCCAGTGCCTTGGCAGCCCTCTATACTGCATTTCTGCACAGCTCTAGCTTCAGATTGGGAGAGCACAGTGAGGAAAGAAGGGCAGACAAATACACTGCAGTGCTTTCTTGTCATCATAAATATCTTTATTGTGAAAAATACCATAAAATAATTCCCACAGTTCTAGAAAAAACAGTTCTTGCTTTTTAGATTTATGATTTTATATAAAGACATTTTATAATCTGAAACATTTGATAAATCTCTGGCTAGCTTTACTTATCCTTCTTAACACATAGAACTGCTACTTTGAGATTCGCTGAGGGCAAAAAAAAAAAATTATTCTCCTGTTTATTTTTTCTTTTTTTTTTTATGGATAAAAGAGTGTATTACAGAGCAAACAATACCTTACAATAAGGCACTTTTAAATACAACTAACCTGCTATGCTATACTGGCTAGTTTCCAGCGAAGCTCCTACAAATCACAGCCCTAAACAGAAGAATAATTCTTATTCCAAACACTGGTCTGAAAACCAATGACAATAACAAGCTTTATTTAAAAAAAAAAAAGTTTAAGCTGACACATCTTCTGCATATGTCACAAGTCTGAGCTCTTGAGTTTATAATTCACTCTGAATCTGTTTTAATACTGATTTATTAATACATCAGTATTAAGCATGTATCAAGGTAAAATACGCTCCCCCCACCTTCATTTTAAAACAAGTTGGAAACTAGGTTATTAAAACTAGAGTTCAACAGAGAAAGTTCGCATCTACATATAGGCCAATTATTGTAAAGATGCTTCATGCATATCTCAGGGTTTACAAACTACCAAGACATTTATTTCAATGTTCAGTTAGTGAACATTATTGCACTACAGACACCTGCTAATAAATAAAAAGGCGAATTCAGCTTTGATGTACATCGCTTGCACCACTAATGCTCAGTGTGTTACCAGCGCTTCATTTTCTGAAGTCACATCAGGAAACGCATCACCATATCTGGAGATCGTCAGAACGTAAATGCTTTCTTTTTAACGCAACTTTCTGTATTTTCGGAAGTACCTCAGAGCTACGAGCCAGCATCTGCTCCCTTAAAACTAGCACTGGAGTGGTAACACTTCTGGTAATCAGCAGCTGCTTAGTATCAGAAAGCCTTGTTCTCCATTGCCAGTTGTTGTTGTTGTTTTCAAGACAGTCTTCCACAGAAGGAATCTATGAACAGCATTCACACATCAAACATCTTCCTCCTGCTGCTGACTACATTCAAGCCTTTTTTTTCTTCCTTAATATGTCATTTTCCCTTTCCCATTAATTCTCAAAATAAACCTAATCCTTTTTGTTCCTGACTGCTTCCAGCATACAGCAGAACTGTCCACTGACTTCGAGAAACAAATCTGCACTGCTCTAACATCGGTACCTTGTATGAATAATTTACTTATGAGGGACCATCTTATTCCTTCCCTAAAAGAAAAAACCTAAAAACCAGGAAACAATTTTCTCAGCTATAGCTTTTAAAACAGAGAAGGGATGAGGAAAAAAAAAAGCTGAACAAAGGCAGTTCTTTAAAAGAAGATGTATCATTTCTAGCACTCCCCTAGCACACCAACGTAGCTGTCTGTGGTGTTTATTGTGACTTCCTGAAACCGAACAACACTCCCGTATGTAAAAATACGACATATTGCTTGCACTGGTCATTCACTAGTAATTTAAAAACAGCCCCTTCTGTAGTGAACAAAGCAATATAAAAAGTGTTTATACAGAGCAATGGCTCGCACACAAACACGTGCAGCCGGCAATCCACAGAGCAGCAGCCACCCAGCCCGCAGCGAGTGCGGCTGGGTCGAGCTCGCCCCACAAGGACAGAGGGCTGACGACAGCCACGAGAGGCCATCATACGTGAAAGCTACCTACCGGTCTTTTACTTACTGTGAGCGAAAAGCACATGCGCAGAGAGCTGCCTGCATCGGCTGATACCACGGGGTAACAGGTTATTTATTGGGCAGCAACTTCCTACGTCTGAGCCCTAGAGGTCCTGCGAGAACCACGCTGGCCTAGAACGGCGTGAACAGCGTCCTGAGCATCCTCTACAGAGTTTAAACAAAAAGCTTTCGGACAGGTCAAAAGTAGAAGTTCAACTTCTGGAAAGTCAGTCAACATGGAAAATATCTGATGCTGGAGTTTAATAGGCTGCTGGGGTGTTTCTGTACCATAAACTGTTAGGAATCACTACATACACTCTTCAGCTCGAAGATAAATTTCTGCTGAACAAACACTGACCTTTAAATTGCTGTTGAAAAACATTTTATGAAGCCACACGGCCTCACAATTATGTTTGTAAAGTACTTGAGGCAGGAGATAAGGGTTATGCTTCAATAGCAATTCTGCCTACAGTAATAAAACCCCCACTTTCAGACTGAAGGCCTTATTTGCTAATTTCGTTTGTTTTACTGAGGCTGCTTATGCTTTCAAATGCCATGAGTTAAAGTGAGAGAAGATTCCTATCAGCTGATTGTTGTTTTCCAGTTAAAATCCAATTAAGAAAACATTGATGAACTGTAATTCTTCCATTCTAAGAAAATGGCTGCTGATGAAACTCATCAGTAATTTCCATATATTCAGTTACAGAATAAGACGACTATTCACTCATAGCAGCTACAGTCCTGGTAATACCTCACATCGCATTCACACAGTTCGATCAATTACACTAAACCAATTTTAGCTACACACATATAGTAAAAATAAACCAGACTTTTGGCTAATGGAAAGTTAGTCCCTCTTTTTGCACACTAGCAGCTGTTTTTGCAGTACTGTGGCTGTTACGCAAAACATAAAATTACTTCAGTTTCACACAGTATTAACTCACTGTTCCATCACCCAGCAAGAAATGACAAGGTCTTATTACGTACAGGGTAAGGCCAGCGCTAATATCATATTCCTACCGTCCGCAGTACACTCACCTCACAACCTGTATTGGTTCCGAGTTTTACGTACAAAGAAGTGAGAAATTGCTGCATAGTCAGGGAAATGTCACATCAAGTTTTTTGCTCAAATCTCAAGCAGATATTTTGTTAAAGTGCACACTACTCAAAGATACCTAAACATCCCAAATCACATTCAGAAAAAGTCTCCCAAAAAACATCAAGTATATTTTTTTACTTTCATATTTGACAATTACCGCCAAGGAAATCATCCCAATTCATTTCAGGTTCATGAATAAATTGAGCAGACATTTTCAAATACAATTACTTACAAGCAATCTTCTTTCAGAGCAATTGTTCAGACTCATTCAGTACACAGCCGCTTCACCCTACCTATGGCACTGCCGACAGAAATACCGCACGCAGGTGGTCACTAGGGTTTCCTTTTAAGAATACTGAGAGATGGATCATTCTGCTGAGCACGACAACTAACAATTTGTTAACGTAGAGACTATTGTAACTACCCCTTCTGTGTTTATTAGGCCCCGATTCAGAAAAATATTTACATGCATTTTTACCTTTAAGCATATACTTAAGTCCTAAATTTATGTTTAAGTGTTGTCCTAAGTAGCCTCTTACTGCTTTTCCATCCATAGGAATAAACATGTCCTGCATATCCACAACAAATACATAGGCAACAAGAACCCCCCCCCCCCCAAACCAGTAGAGCTTGTCAAGTTCACCACAAAGCAAACCCTCTGAATACTAAAAGAAGGAGCTTTCTTCTAGTGCAGCAAGACTCTGGGTTAAGGACAGCATTAGAAATGAAGATTTTGGGTTTTGAATGGAGAGATTTTTTATTTTTCAACCAATTAAGTAAAAAACAGCAGCAGCCACCAGAAACAGTCTTGGCTCTAACTGAAGTGAAATTTGAATGTAAATGGTCCTCCTCCAGAACCAAAGGGGTTGAATCCTTGCCATGTGTTCCAGTTCCTGTGGAAGGGGTTACCCCCACCCTGCTGACTCTCCGCATCCAGTGGGTCCTCTCCTGCATCAAACTTCCGCCTCATTTCTGAAGGAAACAAAACCAAGGTGTAATCATGGCACAGTAATTAGGGCAGTAACACCAAGCGCATTTGATGACCAAGAACCAATTCAGACCCCCCCCAGGCCAGTGAGCTGCAATTATCACTTGTATTGGCAGCATCTGTAGAGCCTAATTTTGAGTTTTTCAAAGCTGTCCAGGAGACTGGCAGAGGAGAAGAGATTACCTCCACGGAAACACTATACGAAAAACTTCAAACAAGACTTTTAGTTTAAAACAAGGCAAGACAGTACCTGGCTGTCCAATAGGACAGGCATGAATTTCAACAGGGACAGGACAGTTGCACTTTGACCAACTGCATCCCACAAATAATTGAGACATTTTGTCCTTGATGAGTTTATTGGACCTATTCTCTCATAGCTGCATGCATTCAGGATGGCTGGAGGACAGACCGTGCTGTATCCTGCCAATTCTTCACAACCAATAAATTCCAATATTGATCGTTCAGCAACAGCACAAAGTCAGCATGCAGAGCCCCAGACTTTTTCATTCTTCTCCACATACCATTCAGGCAGAGCACTGTCTAGGGGACCGCAGTTTGGAGGCAGAAAGCATGTTCTTTAAGTAGTTTTGTCGAGCGGGGACAAAGCTGAAAGCCTTCCCCAAGACCCACAGAGAAGTCAAAGGCTACACCACTACTCTGTTATTTACACTCACATATAACTTTCAAGCTGCCTGCAAGCACCACAAGGTTTTTGATCAGCCAGCACTTTTTCAGGACACCCATTTTACCAAGACAGAGAAGGGAAGCAAAGGAGTTAGTTAGGGGGAAATCATGAGACTGGCTAGGGGAGAAATGTAGAACATGGCCTCAAAGTACACCAGAGCCCTATGATAATAAGCTTGCAAATCAAAGCTCAGAGATTCAGATGTCCACAGGCTTTATAGTTTTTCTTTACATAACCAACATGGTCACTAGAGCCAGAAAATGACCTGGGAAAAATATCTGGGTGGAAGGAAAGAATGTCATTGCAGTAAGAAGAGATGGAAAGCAATACAGATGGCATTACAAAAGCCAAATACGACCAGTGTTACTTTTCTTGCCCAGTTGGTTTGACAGGAACGGTAAATATGACACAAGAAACAGTTTCAAGAAGAAAGCAAATGAATATGTCCCGGAGATGCTGACAGGTCAAACAGCATCTCAAACACTCCCAGTATATCAATCTCCTAATTTGTGTTCATAATTATGAACAAAGATCACATTAACACAGAAAAAAGATTTTCTGACCAGAAGTGTTTGTAATGCAGTTCATCACTCCCAGATCCCTCCTTCCTCCAAGAAAGTCTGAGCCCATCTGCCTAATTATCACCTTGATGATCCTGAACGGTTAAAGATAAAAATGGGAGCCTCCGATATCTACATCTTTTACACACTTCTCTCTTTCCAGCGACCATAAAGAAACAGTTTAAAAACAAGAACTTAAAAGATGGCTCTGGTTGAGGTTTTGGGGTTTTTTGTTTGGTTGGGGTTTTTTTGTCAGTTGTTCAGGTTTGTTTGTTTGTTTGCTTGGGTTTTTTTAAAGGAAGTGAGATAACCACACCATTCCATTTTTTATTACATTCTTGAGACTAAATGGTCCGATCCCTTCTGTTCATCTCTTGGCAACACAGACATCAGATCTCCTAGTTGCCACACCACAGGGTCTCCCAGGACAGTGGCCACATTCTTCACTTTTCCCCCCCTCCTCCAGAGCTGACCAGCAGACAGTTAGCCCTGACAGGGCTCCTTGCTCCTAGGGACTGGGCTGGCCCCAAGAGCCTTGGCCATAGAGCAGCAGTGAGGGCATCCTTTCCCTCAGGCCAACAGGAGCCAAGAACCCAGTCCCCTGCCCTGGAGGAAATGCTCTGTTTGCAGAGCATTTGTTTGCACAGTGTATCTGGGCTTTGATACACACACCAAGGGCCAATTTTGAGGGCTTCTCTGGAGCGCTTTAGGTGCTGTTATAATCTAAATGTAGTTTGCAATAGAACTTTAGGCAGAAGGAGACACCCACATCCTTAAAGTGAGCATCTCCAAAGTTAATCAATCCTGGAAATCTCTGCAAGATGATATACTAAAAAGAGACTTTAAACACAATAAAAAATACCAGGTTTACACCTGACTTCATGCAACAGATTGGATGCAAGTATCAGTGCATTGCTTTCTCAAGACAGCTAAGGGGAGAAAGGGAAAAAGGGAAGTTGTAATGCTTGTTATGACTTACACTTGCTGCATTTTTACATTACTGTAAAAAAGTAATTTAAAAAAGTGAAGTCACTGCCTAAGAACAATCATTACCTGGGTCAGTGAGGACTTCTTTAGCAGCTGCTATATCAATGAATTTTTTCTCTGCTTTCTTCTTTTCTTCCTCACTCTGGAAGTTATCAGGGTGCCACTGGGATGCCAGCTTTCTGTAAGCTTTTATGATTTCTTGCTTTCGAGCATTTCTGGATGGATAAAATCATAGGTAACTTAAAATTTTCTAATTGTTCATATGCCACACTAGTGAATCTACAGATTTATTTTAAACACTGAGACAGTAATTAAGGGCATCAGGAAAATTATGAGGTGCTAGTTAACCTTCTGCAGGTGACAGTGAAGATTCTCTACACAAAAAACAGAGGAAGCAGGTTGCAACTTTAAACAAAGATTACTCACTCTTTCCTTCACCACCCATTTACTTTCCTTGGAAAGGTGCTACTGCCAGCTACTATGCAGAACACAGTTCCCAGTCTGAAGAATTTACACAATCAGGAGAGTAACAAAAAGCACAAAGAGTAGAGATCAAATTAGTTCACAACTGGAAGGATGACCAATTCTAGTACAGAATTGGACATTTGATCGGTCCTCATTAGAAAGAGAAGTTGTTAGTTTCTCAAGGTTAATGGCACAAGTATTTTAGATACCTTTCAGTTAGTCCTTTCAAACTCTTCCAATCTATCACGCTATCTGCCACAGTTTTATTTTTTGTTGCCTTCAGTAATTCTTTCCAGTCTTCATTTCTTCCCCAATTCATTCACTGACTCTTGGTCATCTATACTAAGAATTTCTTTCCTTCCTTCCCAATGTTGTTTTTTCATTCCTTCTAAAGGAATTGTAAACAAATGCTACTTAAAAGCTGAACACTGCTAAACTACTACAGTAGGAAAGTGAATGTACCAAGATACAGGAACAAAAACTAACACTCACAGAACAAATTCAAGTGATCAGCCCTAGAAGTAATGGTTTAATAACCAGCTTTCACATCACCATCTCAGATATTAATCTCTCACCTTTTTACTCCTAAGATTTTATAGTAATCCCTCTTCTGTGATTGCTTCAGCATCCTCTGGGCACGTTCTAGCCCCTCCCGAATCTGCTGGTCATTTTCACTATTGGCTTGAGCAGTCTCATAGTCTTTAATAGCTTTTATAAAAAAAGTGAATGAAAAAAGATTACACAACTCTTTACAAACTTCAGTTTAAAGAACTCAACCACTCACCAAAAGCAAAGTTTTGCTATTACCATATATAAACAGCAAAACTTTTCTTTCAACTTGCCATGGTTTTTTTCCAAATTATAAAACCTTGGAGTAAAGGAGATTAATTTTCACATATAAACTAGGTAAATTTCTTTCTTTAGGTTCATCACACTTTTTGGAAAGGAATGAGAAGGGAGGTTACTAGTGGTAGGTCAGAACACTCTTCTAGATGTTACAACAGTCACATGGATGAACATAATGAGCACCTAGGACTGGGACGAAACAGAAGTCAAGAAGCAAGTTTCAGCAACTAGTATTTGAAGAGCTCACTGCACAATATTAGTCCCACATTGCTGTTCAACTGAAGGATGCATTATACAGAGTCTTTAAATTAATATTCCTTCTTCTCCCACAGCTTGCACTCAATCAAGACAATAGAAAGCCTCTTCCTCTTTAATGACAATAAAGATGGATTTCAGATTACCAGTAAGTTCATACTGTTAGTGAAAGACACAAATATTTGCTTTTTATGCCTCTGCATAATAGGCAGACAGTTATAGTTTAAGGGTGTTTTTTTCCAAAGGCATGCTCTCACTTTTATTTCAGGAGTTGCACTTCTCAGGAATGAAAGCAAGAGAGATGCTGTCATGTACTCATGAATTTTTAAGAAGTTCCAGGTCTACACTTTTTTTCTGGGTGGGGGCAGAAGTAAACTATATTATTATTGTAAGTGGTAACTGAATGCTTAAGACACCAAGTTTAAATATTCTTTGATATCAAGATTTATCAGGGGAAGCAACTGTTGAAGTCTTTAATGAAACTGCTCTTCTTTCACTGTTATAATCCTCAAAGTCTTATTTGCAGATCCAAGTCTCCTAGGTTTCTCAAGTTAGACAAAGTACTTGCATCAGATTATTTCCAAGCAGATGCTATTTCTCAGCAGGTGTTACATTTGTTTTTCACTGTTTCTGAGCAAGACAGCAGGAAGTGCTAATGAATTTGTATTACCCAGACATCAGATACCACTGCAATCTTGTTTTGGTTATTGAAAAAAAAGTTTCCAAGAAGTATTTCCAGTGCCTCAACAATTTCATATGCTATTACAAACAAAACAAAATTTCTATTCATTTTCACATCAGCGGACACTGTCATTTGCTGCTTGAACAGAGCATTTTGGCTTCTGATGATATTTTCAATAATTTGTCCAGTCATTAAAAAAAACCCCAAACAACGAACAGGAGTGTACACTAATGCGTGTGCCCCATATATATTGTCAAAACTGATAGAAATAATGAAAATGCAGGGATTCCATTACACTGCATTACTGCTCCAATACTTTTAAGGACCAGCATACTTAATCTGCTTCATGTAATAATGGGAGGTCCCATCACAATGTCCTGCCAAATGCAGATCAGGTTCAACTTCACTGAGCACCACATCATCTACAGCATGCAGCACTGCTGGAAACCAAGCTGCTCAGGGGCCAAGTATTCACAATGACAGTACTAGATTTCTCTCTCTTTAAATTGACTCCCTTATTTAAAGGCTGCAAATATCATATGGGAAGGTATGTTTTTTAGTGCTGCACACCGCAGAGGCAATGTGCCCAGCACACCTGACGGCAAGTATATTTTGCACTTCCTCTCAGTTGGAAGAGACTTCAATTTTGATGGTACTCTCCAGTGCAGGAATTTTCTTCTTTCAGAGAGCTAACTGCTCTCCCCACCTGACGGGTGAGAGTTGGGAGCAGGTGGAAGCAGGATGACAGCTTCCTGACCACAAGAAGTTTGCTATCAAACCAGGAGACTTATTACTAATTCACAGTACGTCAAGTGAGATCTTTAATCAATTCTTCTCAGTCTCTGTTTCTAAAAGCACTAGTAGCTCACAAACCAACACAAGGATCACTGCTGCTTCTTACTGGCCTGCCATTTCAGAGAGCATCCTTTCTTCCTTTCATCCTGTCCCATGACATGAAAGGAACAACCAGTTTCCAGTATCAGTTTCAATTTAAATAACTTTAGTCAAATCTAACTCTCCTCCTTTCAACACAAGAGTCTTCACAATCTCTCAAATACTAATCACATTGTACTGCTAAACACCTTAGCTGGCTTTCCTATCTTCCCTGCATCTTTAAAACAGAGTGACCAAGATTGGCCAATATTCTGTATGCAGAATTAATTTCCTATCAAACTCGAGTAATTGCAGACAACCTACATCCACGCCAACTCTGCTGGAATAACTGAACCAGTTATGCTTTTACTGAAATAGGGACCGTTTCCTCTACAGTAGTACGATGGGGAGGAGGAGAGAAAAGAAAAAGGAAAAAAAAAAAAAAGAAAATGGATGTCCTGACCAATTTTGAAACAGCAAGGTGTTTTTTTCTTCTGCAACAAAACCTGTGCTGTATACTTTAGACAGACAGACTCCTGTACTTACGAGGTAAGCCAGAAAGGGAGTCATTACACATCTGTCTCTGTAGACAAGCCCTGGATCCCATGTGATTATAAAGTAATTAAAACCATTTGATGGGTATCAGAACTCAGCTATACATACTGAAGTGCATCTTGAACATTTAACAATAATCGCCTTCAAAGTTCTGAATTACAAGTACTTTGCAATTTCCTGTCTTTGAACAGGAAAATAGGTGCCTCCAGCTTGAAATTTTCTAGAGGGAAGAATGAGAATCAGTTTGCTCCTTTAAATATGAGATTACAATTTTAATTGCTCTGTTCTCTACAGCAGAGAGAAATCAGCCATCATTTTATAGCTGTTAAAACTGAAGGATGAGTGAAGACACCTTCAGGCAGACTAACATTAATGGACTATTATAATACTGTTTATGGAGGCTCTGCTGGAAGGCAGTGTAACTACAACCATCTCACTATTGTCAAGGGCAAGAGGAAGGCAGGGGATATGCTAAACAGTTCCACTTTAGCATGGTTGTCCACTCAGAACCAGGCTAGGCCAAGCCCAGCAGGCTCCAGCCCAGGAAATAAGCTCTCCCAGATCCTAGGTGTGTCCTCTCTGTGTTTCCTTATTTATATCCCATAATAGGGAAGTATTTGCTCCAGCACAAGACCAAGATGGCTCTGTGCATTTGTGCAGGACCTTGTTACAAAACTTTGTCCTCTAATTTGCAAAACTTGCCAGAGTCTCTCACCCTAGAAGAACCACAAATAGATGAGGATTTAATAGAAGATGTTAGAAAGATCCAAACTGAGATTCATCAATTTCAAGAAAACAAATAGATCAATTCTGTCCACTAGTAAAAAGCAGAAGGTACATCTAAGAGGACTCACAGCAGGGCCTGTTTGGCCTACCCCTCTCTGTGTCCTCCTCTCAGCTGAAGATTTATACACCTTGAGGGGAAAAAATAATCTTAAATTTTCTTTGGGTTCTTTTGCTGATACGCCTTCCTCTTAAAATAAAAAAAACTTTGTACAAGCCATAAAGCTATGTAGATTTGTATTCTGTACCTTTAACTATTTTTAGGGAATTGGTTGGGGGTTGTTTTTTTTTAATTAATTTGTAAATCTACTTTTTCCCAACACTGACTGAGCTTACTTCCACTGTACTGAAGTACAGAAGAAGATGGGGAAATGCCCAAAGGGGACCTCATCACTGTGAAATCTTCCTGAACCTTACTTTCAGGTTGACCCTACAGTTCTAAACAATCAAAAGATGGAAAAACATTACCCTAAGAAAAACAGAAAGGTAATTTTTCCCCTCACACTTTGGGTTTTTTTTCAAGCAATCACTTTGGACAAAGATCATCAGTTCTCTAAAATGCTGCTGTCTTCCACCCTTTTTCTCATAAGGGGGAAGAAGGCTTGCCAGCCTCCACAAAGAGGGACTAGGGCTAGGTCACTTCAGCAGTACAAGGTCTACAGGGCTGATGAAGAAGAGTGCCTGAAACCACACCAGTCCTCTTTATATCATCTTTTCATTTGAGTCAAGGAGGCCTAAAAAATTTAAAGAGAAAAAAAAAGTATCTCATTTCTGAAGTGAACTTCAAGAGGTGAGCAGTATCATCTCTCAGTGATTAATTCCTCAAAAAGACAAAAAAAACCCCTAAGTGTACTATTAATGAGAACAGCTGCCTCATGAATGTTTAAATCAAAAAGATTTCTTTTGTTCAGTTGTACACCTAAAGATCTAGTACCACAATAAAGAAAAGGAAAATTGTTCTGAGTACTGAAATTAATGGAACTAGTTTTCTGCAGATTTAAAACCTACAAGTCCTTTCTCTCACCACATTTGACTAAAATAGCCCAATGCTTCAGAAACTGCTGCATGACTGAGCACAGTGGCAGAACAGATTGTCCAAATTTCCATCTTAAGCCTGGTTTCTTGTGGAAATGAGATTCACTAAATTAAATTTTGAAGATTTTTTTATAGCACATTAGCACTTAGTTCTCTTAAAGAAGCTAGGCAAGAACATCATCATGTACGCAGACACCCACATTACTCAGTCGCTACCTTCCAAGGCTGTAGATGGGACCATGTAACAGTACGCATTTTATGGAAACCCTGTATGGAAAGTGCAGCCACAGGAGTTGAATCAGTTTACTGGTCTTAGCAGCACCACAGAGACACATGGAGGTGAAGCAATGGCTGTTATCTTCCTCTGCCCTCAACATATGCTAGGGGATAGAACAGTATTGTTTCATGCTGCCATCTAAAGACATTAAAATGAAGTTCCTAAAATGGATTTACATCACCCTAATTACCTTCTATCTCTAAATGCAATTGTCTGACATTACTGATTAAATAAAATGTGTTTAAGTTGAGTAAACTGTAGTCTCATAAAACATCCTGAACATACCTACTGTTGTAAAGACAAGTCTGCTGTAGATAAAACAAGTACATTCCACTTATACTAATCAAGACAAAATTACCAGCAGATATTTTTGTAAATCTGCAACTACCAGCATTGATTAGGTATAACAACATAGTGTAGAATCAAAGTGCATGTTAAAAAATTTTTGAAACACTGACTGCATTTTAAATGCCCACAAAGTATGTGCGAACAGCATACAAGTGTACCTTCTTCATATAGGTCTTCCAGCAGATAAGCTTCTGCTCTGTCTTTCAGGGCATTCACATTGGTTGGTTCCAGCTGCAGAACTTCTGTACAAACTTTTATGGCTTCTGTAGCCTGCTGATTCTAGAGGGGAGAAAATAAAACAGTATTCATGTAGATGTGGGGTTTGGGGGGTAGAGCGGGTGGTGGGTGGTGTTTGTTTTAAAGAACTTTACAGAGAAACATAAAAGCAGAATTACCTTTGATAAACAGTGGCAGATCCTTTCTTTGGCACGAGTAGCATAAATTGGGACTTCTGGCTCAGTTTTCATTACAGAATCATATTTATTGATAGCATCTTCATACCTGTTTAAATCATAAAGATTAGCATAATATCATAAAATGTAATAACTATTTCAGGGTGTTGGGATTTATTTACAAATTTTAAAATTCAGATTTTCACATCCTTCTAGCAATGTACCTGAACTTTAGTAGTCTTAAAGGTGTGCTGTGACACAGTATGAAGAAAACATGCAGCCACTTCAAGAATTACATCCCCATTCCCTTTTCTGTGCTATGGGACAGAAGAGCAGGCACTATGCATGGCAGGCTTTTGCAGAAGATAACTACCATCCCTCACCGTGCACAGACAACAGTCTCTAGATTTGCCTCCTGTTCAACACACCACTCTGCACTTGGAAAAAAGCATCTCCCTCTCTGATACCCGAGATAGACTAAGTCTGGAGTCTTGCTGTAAGCACTGTACTATTTGTATTTCTTGATGCGAAAAAGAAAAAAGTTCTTTATGCCAGCTTGAATCAGGCGGTTGGTTTCTCCCTTCCTTCTCTGCAAGCCACATCGTAAAATATATTTTTGCTGTGAACATTTCAAAGATGCTGAAGTTCCACGGTTTGAGTAAGAAACAGATTAGAACATTCACCTAAAAATGCAAACAAACCATTGAACCCATGGGTTGCTACAAGCTAGGAGAAATTCAGGCTCTCAGAAGCCTCCCTGAAAATGTGCTGATACTGGATTAAATAGAAGACTAAAGTGAAAAGAGTCCAAGTGTACTGCTGACTAAAACTGTCCTCAGTTGTGCTGATTCACATTCCTGATGTACCTCATTTTAAAAAGCCACCTTGACAATGTTTAATCACTTGTTAGGGGTCCTTACAGTTGGATGTCATGTGCTTGGGAACATGTAAAACTGAAATAAAGCAACAAGTAGAAGAATACAGAGGCATTGTCTATCATTTAAGAGGGTGCATAAAAGAAGCCCATCAGTCAGATCCACTTTTGCTATCAAGGCACCGCAGAGTTACTAAGTGGTTTCAGTCTAAAGATGTGGTCCTTTAATCAACAGCATAGTTGAAGTTGGAAGGGACTTTCGGAGGTCATGTGGCCCATCCCCCCTGCTCAAGCAGGGCCACCTAGAATGGGTTGCCCAGGACCATGTCCAGACAGATTTTGAGTATCTCCAAAGTGGGGAGACTCCACAACCTCTCTAGACAACCTGCACCAGTGGAAATGAGAGGGTGGTGGGAAGCATTTCCTTGTGTTCAAATGGAATTTCCTGTTTTGGTTTGCACCCATTGCCCCGATCCTGTCACTGGGCACTGCTGAAAGGTGCCTGGCTCCACCTTCTTCGCACCCTCCCTTCAGGTATTTATATACATCCATGAGATCACTCTGTAGCAGAGAAGGCCCAGGGGAAACAGTCCCAGCTATCTTAGCCTTTCCTCACAGGAGAGAGATGCTCCAGTCCCTCCATCATCTTAGTGGCACTTCATTGGACTTTCTGTCTCAGCAGCTTCATCTCCACAAAGAAGTTAAGTATGCAAAGAGAAGACAGTGGCATCAGAAGGAATCAGAATAGGATTGTCACTATGTGAGTCAATATTTATTTTGATTGTAATTTGAGAGCTGTGCTCAGTTATCCACTTCAACTGGCAGCTGCAAAAAGCATCACTTAATCAACTTCTCAATCAATAATAAGTTGGCGCCTCAGTAGTGATTTTTTTTTTTTTTAATATAGCAGTGAACACTTACCTGCCTTCTCTGATGAATTCTTCTGCTGACTCGATCTGCTTATTGAGTTTCTTTACTTGCTTATAGAGAGAAAAGCATTGCTTATGGTCTTGGTCCAGCTTCAGACATTCCCGGACTTCACTTTTCACAGGGAGGTAGGGAGGAAAAAAAAATCAAAACCAACAAAACACCGGAACAGAAAGACATCATCACACATTATGAAATTTCACCTAGAGACACAACGCAGCATCTATAAGCTGTCCAGAATAACAGTTGACTTCTTTACACAATCTGTCCCTTCATCCAAAAATCAATTTAAAGTGAGACAAAAAAAAAATCTTCCAGAACATACAGGGATATTCATCTAGTTTTGTTTTTAATTATTTTGTATCATCAAATATGCAAAGATTGAGAAGTGTTACATTAATAACTGACTAAACAGTAGAAGAAAAATATACCCTGGGAAAGAAATTATATTCAGCAGTTATCAGATACAACTGATTGTAATTTTCCTGTACATTTAACTCAGCTATGTTACAAAATAACTATGTAGAAGCGTATTTTATGGTGCCTGAAACAGGTAAAGCTCAGCTAAGACCCAAACCTCCTCTTGAAATCTCAGCCAAGCCTAAGCCTGACTTTTCACTGTGAAGACTGTTTAATCAGACTCTGATTAGGGTAGATACCTCTTAAAATAGTCAAAAGTCTTTAAGAAAACCTCCAAAATGCAATCGTATGAAGGAATAAAAGTTTTGTATCATATAGATGCATCATAGCACAACCAAGGTGTTATTTTAGATATAAATATTTCACGATTTATCATGCTCTATATCATCACATTTTCCATCTCAATTACAATGATTACAGCAAACAGAAAGAAATCACAAAATCTTATTTTGTTCCTAAGCACAGACAAAAATATCTGTTACTTTGAAATCGTTAAGCCTGTAAAGGTAAGGGGAAGAAACTAAGGGAAGGACAAGATTAATCACTCAGCAAGTCCAAAACCTGTAGAACTGTTTCTTAATATATCTTATGATGCAAAAAAAAACAGTATCAGAGAAGAAAGAAAAGAGGCTTATCCCTTCATTGTGATACTATTCTGTTCTTCAACAGCTCTCTCAATTGTACGTATAAAAATCTTAAGATCCTCCTTTAACAGGAGAAGTCCATGTGTGGATTTCAGAGGGAAAAAAAAAAACCCAAACCAAAACACCACCTGCATCACTAGGCTATATAATGGCCAGCTACCAAAAGTCACCACAGAAGTGACCTATGAACTCCAGAGATTAAGTATACTCTGGAAAGGGGATCCCTGATGCAAACCAATTAGTTATTTGGTGTTTACTTTTGCCCAGCTATAAAATGAATTCTTGCACTTAGAATCACATGCAGTTTCCATTCACCAGCCAAGAAAAGAAACTCAGGCTATTTCAGTTCCTTCACCTCTTACTGAACAGATTCTGTGGCAGAAACCATACTGGAAGGAGTCTGGAGATGAAAGTAGCACATCTGAGATGATGAGCTGCACAGAAACCACTTGTGTGCAAAAAGAAGGATTATACCATCTGTCCAGCTAAGCACAGAGTATGAAGTTAACAGTCCAGATTGGGCAAGGGCAGTTATCTGCAGGACTGTCGAGGCACGTATGGGAAAAACACCTTAAATTTAACTGAATATGAATAAAAGCGTAGGGCGTTACCAAAAAATCATCCAAAATACTGGACACTGTCTGCAAGAACAAAATATTGACAGCTCTGGATCCCCAACTCCTCATGCTTGGGACGCTCTTGTACTTTTTATTTATTCTTAAGCTTGTAACCTTTTGCTTCCACTCTTGAAAATAAAAATCTAGCCCCAAGACTTAATGCATACATTTTTTGTTTGCATTGTAGACATAACTTGAATGGAGGTTCATGGTTAAAAAAAGGCTCCACCAAAGCAAGCTGAGGGAAGCACTGTCTTCTAGGATGGAGAAATACAATAAAGGCAGTAAATATAAGCAACTCTGACGGACCTGCACTATGGCTTCTATTTAAGTAAACAAGATGCTAGGAACCATCAGTGGCTGGTCTGCTAAGATTAAACACAGTGTCTTCACTGCCAGTTCTTAGCTTCTGGAAAGGACCTTCCTTAATCAGATCCAGACCACAGTTGCTACTCCATCCAAAAACCAGACAACATAGATATTCACGGTTTATCATGACCCATATCATCAAATTTCTGTCTCAATTATAATGATTACAGCAAACAGTAAAATTACCTGAGTGACAATTCATGGTCCCCCAGCTGATAATATATTCTGCTGATTTTATAGAAGGCTTCAGTGTTATCATTCTTTAATTTGGCAGCAGCTTTCAAGTCACTAATGGCTTTGCTTGGTTCCCCTTCCTTTATATAACACTCAGCTCGAAGTTCCCGTAGCTCTGCATCCCAAACACAAACCTTGAGAAATCAAAATTAAAGCTTGTTTTTGGTCCATAACACTTCACTTCTTTTCCTTCCCAACAAAAGAAAAACCCCATTTAATTTCACTTTGCCAACTGCAATAGCATAAGGTTCAAGCTGCATGCAGAGCTCATGAAATTAGCATCTCTGCTTCCTGGTGGATGCTGTGATGCACCTGCCCAAATAGAAAACAAAGGCCTGAAAAATTTGTAAATGATTCAATGAACTCATGCAGGGAGATGAATTAAATCTACTGGCACTGCTTAAACTGGGACAGTCTGTTAAGCCTCCAGGGAAGGATATCAGAATCATAAATTATTATATCTTCCCAAAAGAACAGGGGTAATGAACAGCAAGGACCAAGCTGTCAGTTGTCCTCTAGAAAGAAGCCTGTGGGCAAGATTCAGCTACACAAGATTTGACCTTACTATCCAGATTTTAAAGATATATACAGAAGCAACGATGTCACAATATAGCACAAATAATAACTTAAAAGGAATTGCCTATCATAATTTGGTTTAGAGAATTTATTCTGGGTCTTATAATTTGTTTGTAAACCATTTTAGAGAATGAGGCTTTTCTGCTTTTCCACCTTCCCTCCCCATAAATAAACTCCCACACTTTGGCAGTTTCTTCACCAAAAGCTAGAATGTAAATTCCAAGTCAACAATGTTAATTTGTACGTGAAGAGTCTTAGCAGTTAACCGTCTTTTACTATGTATTTCTAGATGGCACACAAAATGCCCACATGATTGAGTTATTTACACTTACACAATCAGACTACCTATAGCGATTAAGATTCAACAAATACAGGTATCTAAGGAACAAGCTGAAAATCCAGATATCTATGTACATTTTTAACTTTGTGATTTTTTTTTTGATCTTTTGTTACTTCATTTTCTCAAGACAAAAATTGCCTGCATATGGGCAATGAAAAACCTATATGAAAAAAACCCTACACCTCCTATATTTAGCAAAACTTCATTGGTCTGAGAACAACTTTTTTCCCAGCTTCCCCAGGAACACTAAACTGTGGAAAAATGGGAAAGTATAATCAAGAAAGTTATCCGTAAGAGAAGTTTGGCTGAAATTGTATCTTTAACCCAAACTACAAGCTATTATTTTGACTTTTTTTGCAGCTGGTGCTCAGCATTCTCCACTCTCCAACTTCATTATGGACTCATGGTGCTCAGCAAAAACTGAGCCAATTATACCAAGTGTTTTCACATCAGTGAAGAAGTTATTAAACAAAAATACACAGATGTCAGACAGGAGCTCTTACTTCCTTTTCACAGTACCATTTTATTTAACACTTACTGCCAAGATTTCATCAAGAAGAGAAATAGCGCCTTCGTAATCCTCTTGCTGGTAGGCAGATAATGCTTGTGAATGCAGGCGCTGTAGCTCATCAGATTTTGTCAGCTGAGTCTGGGCTTCTTTTTCTTCATTATTGCTAGGATTGGATTTGAGCTGCAAACATCAACGAGGAGAGAGACTGAAATGCTTGTTCAAAGATCTCTTTTTGACCCATTAATAACCATATCATGGGGAACTGACTAAAGCTGCAAATTAAGCAAAATTAGTTTTAAAATTCCACTGGAAATGTTTCCAACTCCAAACTTCAGAAAAAAGACAGACATTTTTAGCTTCAATACAAGTTGTCAGAAGTCAGAGAAATCTAATTCCTCCCCCTACCATGCTTGATTATTTACCATTGGACACATCATACACAACAGTCATTGCACCCCCATCACCCAGTGGAAGTCATGGACCTCTCAATTGTAGCCTAGTTAATTCATCTCTCTGCAGACAGTTATTAAACACTGGATTCCTCAGAATCAGTAGAAAGTATATCCACATGGCATAATCATGTATCTCACTTTAAGCACAAGACATATTTATAAATTCATGACAGAAACAGATGCAACATGTCACAGATAGTATTACTGTAAAGCTGTGTTTCTTATGCTTTCCCCAGAAAGAGTGGCTACAGCAGCAAGTTAAGATACTACAGGTGGAGGAAAAGCTCAACTGGGATCAGCTGGGAATTTACACACTTTGCTTCACATATAGTTTTAGACAAGTCTGAAGTTTTGTCTACAAAGACTCTCATTTCTCAAACATCTCTGAGCAAGCAGAAGGCGTTACACTGTACTTGCCTTCATTTGTTTAGACAGCTTTGTATTTTCAAAGAAAGTAAAAAAAAAAACCAACCCAAACCTCACAGCCAACTCTGCTACCACCCAGGAAGACAACTATCGGTCAGGAAGAATCTCAGCCAGGAAGTAATTTGTAAGATTAGTGTAGTCTGAATAAGGCACCAGCTTCACACTTGTTGCTAATCAGAATGACTTCCAAAGTTTTAAAATGGACAGATCAGCAGGACTTGAAAAAGAAAAAAAAAATTTTTTTGTTTGGTTGATTTAAAAATCAAAACTTGTACTACCTTGCATTTTATGCACAGAACGTTGACTAAAGTTACTGAGTCTTCAAAGTCATCCAGTACTTTTTCTTTCCTCCTTTATCTCATAGTGGCCTCTTCCCTTTTTCTCATCAGCAAGTTCTTCAAACACTCATATTTTGTGCTTAAGTCTCTAGTGGGATTCAACATCAGCCCTCAGAACTCCTTTAACAAAATTTCCCCTGGTTCTAACACTTAAGTATATGAAAGGAAAAAGCCTAAATGCAACATCAAAAACATGCATAGATCCCACCTCTGTCTTAGATTCTTCATTTTAAGTCTTTCTGAACCTTATGCAGTTGTTTCATTTTACTCTGGCAAAAATCAAGTTGTACTTAGACCTGAAAATTCTCCTTTATCCCCTACACTGTCTTTCAGCAAGAAGAGAGGAATGTGATCAAAGAGTTTTCTTCTTTGTAGGCTGATTCCTAATGTAAGTCTCAAAAAGCTTTTCTTCTGGTTAGAACAGACACTCTGCCTATAAACCCCTGATGCTGTGCATCTTCTTTCGCCCCCAAACCTGGAGCTTGTAGTAGAGGCAAATTTCTGCACCTGTAATTTTAGAAGTTCCAAGACTACAGAACTCTGATGTTCTGAACTCTTCAGTTCCAACTGACTTGCTTAATTTCTCCCTCAATTTCTCAGCATTTTCGTCTTAAAAATCAAGAGCTTTTGCTATGGACTTGCTTTATGCTTCCATTTAAACTTATCTCACAGTAACACTGCACTCCTTAGACACACAGTATGTTTCCTGTAATTTATTTGGAGCAAAACTTTAGTGGAAAATGAAAAGCAATGTTACAATCATACAGACAAGTCCAACAGTAATAAAGAACATTTGAGTGAAACATCCTAGATAAAATTATGTAGTACAAACCGTACAGTTAACAAAGGGAGTTTTCAAGCTATCATTCAAACTAAAGCCATCAAGCATTTGTGTGCTACAGTAAGATGAAAATATACACTCAGATGCTCTTAATAAGTAATTACTGTATAGCTATGATGTTTTCATCAGTAACATTAACTAAAGCAAAAAGAAGCCTGTTCATTCAGCTCCCAGAAAAAACCTGGAAATGTGATGCAGTTGTTTGATACACTCATTTTCATTTACTTCCAGATTTTTCTTTTCTCTCTTTTTGCCCTGTGATTGAAGGACTGTCACATTATCAATAACTAATCACATTTCAATTATTTTTCATTTTCCTGTGGAGCAGTAAGCTTGGGGGTAACAACTCAGAACAACTACTAGCACTAAGTGTACTAGATTTCCAAGAAAGGAGCGAAATATTAAAAAAAAAATCAGATTAATTTAATACAGGTCTAAGGCAAACCTAACACTCCTCTACATGTTTCATCAATGGCCTCAAAGCAGAAAGTCAGAAGCCATGCTCCGCTAAGTTCTGCTGGACAAGCACACTGCTACCGGCGAACATATTCTCAGCACAGTATCCTTTGCTGTCTTTGAGGTTTACTTCATTTGGATTAGAACATTAAATTAGTTGCAGTTTAAGTTGCAGCAACGAGAGCTAGCCATCTGCTAACAGCAGCTTTCATTCACTACCAACATCCCCGCCAAACCTGCACCTAACAGTGCACCTAATACGGGAATGGCTTTGTTACTGTAAATAACTTTGCAGCCACGTAGTCCTACATCTTCCTTTGCAATGGCCTGCTAACAATACACAGAAGTTGGGCATTTAGTACAGCAATTCTAATGAAGAGTAGTTACAATCACCTTGAGAAAAAAACCCAACTCAAAATCCATACTCTCAAAGAGTACAGATTAAAGATACTCAAATGCTACAGATTAATTGTCTGTGTATCTTAGTACGTGTAATAAACAGACACTATCAACTTGAAAAACTCTTAAATACTGTTGTTAAAAAAAAAAATTGTTAAAACCCCAAAATGTTACAGACACGCTGTTTCTGTACCTTGCTTACAGTGGTCCAGTGCCACTAGCATTGGCATACATCTACACATGCCAAAGCTGTTTTATTTTCTTGCTTTTCAAACTGGTAAATACACAATGAAAAGAAATCGATTAGGCTTGTGAAAAACATTCTGAGGGGAACTGAAAGAACCTCCATGGTTTGTGTTATCTAAGATCAAGACATCCACTCACTCAAGAACAGTGCACAAAGGAAACCTCTGCACTGGCAGAGCAATATATTACGTAACACAGCTACGTTGGAAGGAAAAAAGCAAGGAAATATTTAAATAACTTTTATTCTTTACCCAGGAAGCTACAGATGAACACAGTACCACAGAGGAATGTATATGGAAACAATTTAATGTTACTTTGATCTAGTTAAGAGAGCTTCAAATACCCAACCCAAGATTGCCTAGTAACTTACTCAAATCCGGTTAACTTACAGTGCCATAAGATGGTCTCCTCCACATACACCCAAAATAGTATTACTACACATACCAACCAACCATGGAAAACTATTGTCCAGTGTATTTTGCAACAGCCGAGGGCTTCTCTCGATTAGAACACAATTTGCAGATGTACAGTGCTCAGTCACTTGGTCTTGGCTGACACCTAGTGGAGCTGGAAGCAGCACCTTCACTTTCCAGTTTTTAAGTGTTTTATGTTTCCAAGGAAGACAGAATTGCATGTTTAGGACACCTCAATTTACAGTATTTATTGCAACAAACTGCAACTGTGAACATTACAGTAAGTTTAAAAAAAAAAAAAGAAAAGAGATTTAAAAAAATAAAATATGACAGCTTGGTCCATTCCACACTTCCCAACAGACTAGGCAGAAGTTCTGTTCTATTTTTGTGCCTTCTACGGAATTCAGCAACTCAAATGCTTGTCATTTTCTCTAGGACACAGGCAGGGTCACAGACAATATTACAAGGCATATACAATAGGCTGCCAGGACTTGCATTGCTTTTGTCACCTTTTCAGAAGGCCTTCCATCAACCAAAGTATACCAATATTCCTTTTATTTTCACTAAAAATCACATGCTTAAAGGTAAAATAAATATTCCAGGGCTTTCATGGATTGAAGCCTTAGCCTTAGTGAGTGTTGGTGTGCCCACAGATCTGTCCTGTTGACTCCTGTTACTCAGAAACTACTAACCAAAACAGAAGGAACCTGATATTAAAGCATATGAACACTCAACCAAAGTTGGAGCAGAGAAATAAATACTATTCATACATATACCGTGAGCAATGACTTTCTGAAGTCACCTAAGGACTTGTGCTTAATCCCAGTTCCATCCTGGGCACTCTGAACACAAGAATTAGACCCCTCTGCTGACACCTGTTGAAAGTTTTATTACTCTCTAGGTCCTAGATTCCCAAACTGGTAGCTGAGTTGCAAAGGAAAAAGCTAAAGAGCTTCTAAAGATTAATGAGTTGTGATTCTGTACTGCTAGACAGAAAAAAAATCTGGCCCCTGTAAGGAATGTCATCAGTTTGGTGCATCTGTTGACCAAAAGGAGAGGTTTCTAGAAATGTAGTATTGCTTAACGTGTCAAGGCCTAAGTCTGAATCACACCCTCTATCCAAACCTCATGATTAATTTCAGCCAACAGGGAAGTACAGAGTAGGGGAAAAAAAAAAAACAGGGGAGGCAATCTAAAAATAACATATGAAGGCTGGGGTCTCAAGAGGCTCTGCTCGTGAAAGGTGTACTCCCATCCTTTCCAGTCAGGTATTCCCACTGCCTGCTCTCACACTGTCACTGCCTCACAAGACAGCCAGTACTGATATGCCACAGGGGGGTAGAGACACCCAAACAGAGAAACTACTCCGCTTAGCAATCACATAACTCTAAAGAGGTTTAGGGTGCTCATGAAACTTTTCCCACATACTATAAAACCATGTAGAAAGAATCTAAGGGTAAGAAAACCCTTTTTTTTCCCCATAAGTATAGACTAAAGGATAGTTTTACTATTATATGTACAGAATAGTTTCAATGATTCTTTTAAGCTCTATACAAAACTGCTGCTGTTACAAGGTGGGAAAATTTACCTGTGATCCTCCCCTCCATTTAGACAGGCTGAAGTTTTCTTACTCTTTCTCTCCCTCAAAAATGACTGCATGTCCTAAACTGCTGAAATACCTTTCAACGAGCATGACTCCGAGAGGAGGAATGGGAAGGAAAAAAAAAAAGGATTTTCAGACTCTCCACTGGGATTCAACAGACTATATACTGGGAGAAATCAGCATTTTACAGGCAGCTCATTACATCAGTCACCTTGCAGTTCTGGTAGGCATGGAAAAAAACACTGGTGACACTGACTCTTAATGCAAGCATCACACAGGGAATTACAAACCTTCTCACTCCTACATGTCTGTCCTTGAGTAGTCCGAGTAAAATTACTCTCCTTAGCTTCCACACCCTGACCTGGTTTCTCCAACTCAAAAGTGGGGAATATTTTAAAATCTGATCTACTCCCTTGAAGTCAACACCTGACCCAAACAAACAAACTCTTGTGTGAAATCACACAAGTGGTAACACATCTACTGTCATTCAAGGGCATACAATCTACTTCAAACAAGAAAGCCCATCTCATCCGCACAACTATTTCCTCAGGAAAAAAACTTAACGCTGAAGGTAAAAAACTCTCTACATTTACCACCCTGCAATTCACTTCTGTAAGCATACGACATCCTCAGGACCACCTATTCTAGGTAACATCCTGAAACCCTGCACACTAAAGGAAGTGGATTATTTTTCTTCCAATTAAGACTTCCGTCTCAGTGAAGGGGGATGGATGGGGTGGAGGCTTGTTTTGGTTTTTTAAATACAGCATTTCCACCCCATCTTTCCATGATACTCAACTTCTGCCACCTCAAACATATGACGAGGCTGCTACATGCCTACCGACTTAGTGACTGTTTGCAGATCAGAGCCTATGCACTACTAACGCAGGATGGCCCAAGTTCTTCTACAATTAAGCTCCAGATATGGACACCAAAGTTTGCTGATGTGCTACATGCTTACCCAGAACGAGAGCATTCTAGTTCACTGATATCCAACCTAGCCAAGTGAGAGGCTAGAGGGCTGTTCAGATCCTGACCTACATTTACTCAGCTGAAGAGCAGAATAATAGATTACATACTCTGTTCACATGTAAAACACACTATTTTAGGTATCCAAGTCCACAACTAAATTCTAGCCTAAAAGCTATTGAGATCCCACTTGCATTTCTTTGTGCCATCTCTGCCCTAGTAGTAGAAGGAACTTTCATTTCAAAGTACAACTTACTCCTTTTGGCTTCTTGACTACTGACTTAAAATACGAATCAAAGCTTCCTAGTGGCTACTATTTACCTTGCCCCTATCACTTTTGGTAGCAAAGATAAGGTCTGGATGTAAAAGTCTTGAAATCATTTAGAAAGCTATTCAATCTCTAACAGCCTTCCTCCTTCTCTCCTCCCTTCTCACTTATAAAAATACCCCAAAGAAACACAGAACGTTAATACATTTCACAGTATTGTGACTCAAACTTCCTCTCACCTTGAGATTAAATGCAATTTCCTATTTAAATGCAAACATACTGCCAGAGTACACTAGATATTTTAGTGTACACACAAAGAACTGGTACGATAATCAGACTGACTATCTGAAAGATTCAGAAGAAAACAAGGGAAATCTCTCAAAGAAACATGTGTTCTACTTAAAAGATTCAAGGTATGTAGGATAACTTAACCCCCTCCCCCATATGAATAAATTAATCCATTACAAATGATTACTTTAATATTGGCTTATTTTGCTTGAATACACTCTCCTTAACTGAAAATTGTGCTTTTCAAAACAGACTGCTTGCCATATTCCCTAAATACATAGGCAATATTGTTCACAGAACCAAGGAAACTGGAAGTAAGATTGAGGACCAATATGGTATCTTAAGTCACCTTCTGAGAAGAAGCTCTGTTCTACTTCAGACTTAAAACTTGACTGAAGACTGAAACTATTTGACTGACCAAAGGCAGCAATCTCGTTTTTTTCAGCTGGTTTCAAAAAAAGGCAAGCTACTTGACAATTGGCTGGAGAAGCATTACCATATGCAGTATTAAGCAGTACTCCAAGAAACGGTAACTGCCAAAAGATGCATACACAAACTCAGAATCAACACTGACATCATGTACTTGCCATTGCAGCAACTATGTCCTCAGTCAATCAGAGCTGAACGACATTCTCCCACATTTGCAAACAGCAGGACTGCACTGCAATCAGATGTGCAACTGCAGACCACACACACCTAAAACTCACTGAGGAAGCAGCAATAGCCGGAGGAGCCATGGCTATGTGAATTTCAGAATAAGCTACTGCAGCTTTGCTACAAACACAAAGACTGCCTCGTGCATTTATTCCTGCAAGAGTCATTCCTCCCAGCTGCCCCGCAGAGTATACAGTGTAACTGCTCTGGTTTTGTCATACATACTCGCTAGTAAGATTTCCATGAAACATCTGTAATCTGCAACGCAGAACTGCTTTTCCATCACACTCCTCCAAGAAAGCCAACAAGACAGCAACAGTTACACTTGCAAATTCTGGGGGTTTTGGCATAAGGGAAATGCAAGCTGTTCAAACTAGCAACTCTTGAAAAGAAGCAAGAATAAGAATGAATCATTTATTCTCATGCTTACAGAAGTTTTGTGCAACAGAGAGAGAAGCGAGTTTCACATATTCTCTGAGGAACTTTGTTCTGGGGTTAGATCAGCTTATTTTTGCAGTCTAAGGCCAAAACACACAAAATACCCATAAAAAAAAACCAACCCGAGTGAGTTTTAGGTGGGTAATATCTAACTGTGTTTGTATGGGAACTCTGGGCACTACCTGATCATGGAAAGAAAGTACTGTCAACATATTCATGAAAGATGGAGAACTCCTCAACAGGTAAGAAAACATGCAGATGCATGCCACTGAAATTAATTGATTTTAACAGCCCAGTGACTAAATTTAGAGTGCAGGATCCTTCTGCAATTAGTGAAGAGAAAGAGGAACCTTCAAAGGTTGATCCATGAAGCCCCTAGTGATTTCCCAGGGTGACCCAAATATAGTGATGTAAAGCAGGATTCAATTATGTACTTTGAGTCCCATGTCACTTATCCTTTCTTTCTGAATGAAGACTGATCCCTAGTATAGGTGTCATCAAGCAGAGATCATGAAGTGCCAGGCACGCACACACAAAAAAAAGAGACTTTAAAGTGCTGTGCACATCAGCAACACCTTCTGATTTCATCTTCATCACTGCATTGCAACTTTATCAGTCATTTATTCATCCAAGGTAGCTTAGCTACAATACCTTTAAAGAACAGGAAAGACAAACTCAGGCATACATATACATATGCTCTACAGCATCAGAGCTGCAATGAGACCTTGGCTCAGAACTCAACCTTAAAAGCAGTGATGTAGTTCAACTTACCACATTTTTGAAGTCATCCTCTGCTTCATCAAATTTTCCTTGCTTGAGCAATAAGTGTCCTCTCTGTAATCTTGCCTGAAATGAAACATGAGATAATTTATTTTCATTTATAAATTGGAATTCAGCCAAGTATGAACATAAGCTTCAGTTTCCTTTAGCAGGAAAAAAAAAGTTTCATTTTACTACAGATAACAAGCTGAAACAGAGATCACAACACCCATTCTTTGTCTTCTCAATTTGACAATGTTCTTACGAGGCCTCTTTGATGGTAACGGATCACTCTGCACCAGAACTGTGGGACAAAAAGCAGCCACAGTTTTTATGAGCAGCTGCAACTCATGGAAAGAACTCATTTGAAGAGCTGCACAAAACAAAGCAAATGTTTACCTTACAACACTTTCCTGATTATAACTGCTTATAGATTTTAAGAAATCTGCAGAAATAATAAACAATAAACAATTCCCACACTTAATTCTTCCACTAAACTTTCAGAATAATAGAAGCTATGTAAAAAGACAAGTTAATGACTTAGAAGATTTTGATTAATATGAGTATTTTCATACAACAATGAATTTAACATTTGCTCCTTCATTGTAAGCTGTACAGGACATGCCGCTGCCCATTGAAAAGGGAGACAAGAGAATCAGATGGAGAGGACTCCAGCATCAGTCTCCAGCTACTGAGACAGTCTCCATATACAGTATCCAGAAGTGAGAAAGGGCTAAGTAAATCAGAACTTGCAACAATCCCATAGGAAGGCAGTGAGATTAGGACAGTTCTTGTGGAGAAGAGATGCCTCAAATCAAATGCTGATTAAGACAGAAGAAAAACAGAGGCATCTGTGAGCTCTCTCCCCACCCCCTATCCCCCGGCAGAGGGCATAGCCTTAGTGACTGAGAGAAGAATAATCACAAGTGACAGAAGGAAAGTGTTTAGCAGAAATCCACAAGGAACATGAACTTAAAACTACTATTAGTTGTTAGAATAACTGGCTAGGCTGTACTCAGCATAGTTGCAAATTCAAGCACATACATCACTGCTATTCTTTTATCCTATATAAAGCCTTTTGAATGATAATGTATTTTCTATTTCTGTTTAGCAAAATCTGAAAAAATAACCTTCTTCAAAGCAGGGGGTTTTTTATGCTTGAACAATTTTCAATTCCAGTAATACTTACTGATGTGAAGTCCTGCTTTAATTCAACCACTCTACTTAAATCACGAATTGCTGCTTTAGATTTGCCCATGGCTAAGTACACTGTGGCTCTTCTGTAATAAGCAATGTAGTTATCAGAGTCTCCCTCTGTAAGTGAACGAACAGTAATCAGAATACTATCTCAAAGCAACTGAAACTTTGGGTACAGCAAAACTGTAATGACTAAAAATATATTATCTGACTTCTAAGCCACTGGAAAAAATGGTACGTATCAATAAAGCATAACATTTGTAACATTATCCAAGCAGTATTTTCTATGCAGTTTAATTATTTAACAATAAAGATTACAGTAACACAGTAAATGCCAAATAATTAAAGAGTACTGAAGGTGAAAGATGTACACATTTTTCAGCTTTGTACAGGAGAACAGCCAGTACGTACTAACGCTTTATCTCCAACTGCAGGCCTACATTTGAAAGCATGTTAATTCATCATTCTCCATCCCAGCCCCTGTCCATCATACAGGATGCAAGCAAATAATCCCAAAATGACCAGTATGTTAGTCCAATGCCGTCACAGACGTATAAACCCTTTACATCGTCCATTAAAATAACAGCAACTTCTTTCTTTAATACTAAAGTGGGCACCAACACCCCCTCTCAACGGCAGACAATGCATGTACGTTATCAAAACCTGAAGGCTAACTTCAAGGCCCACACATTCCATGTTATCTGCTGGACAAACTTCCAAGACACGGCAATTTTAACACTCTCTAGGTTACCGCATGTATGTACACCCTTACAGGAGGCAAACATCAGTCTCTGAAACCAAGAAGAATTTTCTTGATATTCTTCTCTATGCAGTATTTCAAAGAAACATGTGACATTTACTGTGACCTCTCAAGGAAAGGTAACTTAGACCACCTAAACAACCACATGCAGTAGAAGATAAGGAAATTTTTTACTGTGGTATTAAAAAAAGAAAATCATCAGTCCAGGATTTGTAGAGAAGAATATCTGTACCTGAGGAACAAAATAAGTATTTATCTTCCTCACCTTATTTGAGGTTAAAGTTGAACTTTAAAATAAATGGAACAAATAGCATTGCCAAAATCATATGGTCAGTAACCGAGCTTCATAGCTGGCCACCTCCATTACCAAAACACTAGTTCAGTTCTCACTGGAAAATGCATCTGCACTCTTCCTCTACAGTGTCTTGGCTGTGGAAATGCTAATGTCCAGCACTGAAATTTAATACTACTCCCATGCTGCATGCCACCTTGTATGTCAGCATTATGGACATCAAGTAAACTCAAATGTTACTGCCTTTAAAAAAAAAGGAAGTATTAAGTCCTACTGCATACAACTAGATGGGTGGAGTAGGCACAAATCAATAGCTGAAATTAAGGAACTTTATTAATTAACAAAGGATGAAAGACGGGAAAGAGCTAACCCAGAAAGCACATTCCAGCACCAGATTATGATCTTTCTGACAGTCAGAATACAGTTTTGTCTCAGTTCCCCAGTAACAGTAATGAACAGCAATTGACATTTACCCAGAGAGAAGGCATAAGCCATCAACTTGACAGGATTGAAGAAAGAGTTGAAAATTTAACTGAAGAGAAAGAAAATGGACAGAAGCTTTCTTGTATTTTAGATGTTTGCAAGAAAAGAAAAATAGGCTGGCTGAGACAAGACAAAAAGATCTATTTACCTCACAGTCTACAATGATGCAGTACAGGCAAAAAAGGATTAGAAAAATTCCTTCTCCCCTCATCTACAAACACAGTAGGCAAATCATGCTTAAAATCTTTCCAAAAAGTCAAAATACAAAGAAGAAAGAGAAGTCTGATCAAAGTTTAGGCAATCAGGCTCAAATCAACATACAGCTAAGAATCCCATTAAGGTCACAACACCGTAGTTATACCAGCTGCTCGAGGACTGCTGGCAAAGCTGAGGGTTTCACCCTATCCAGGCACCTCACTGCTCATCCCACCTCACACTGCTGCCACTTTTGCACCACCACCAGCATTTGCACGGCAACAGACTGAACTGGACTTTTCACCAAATCCAAGTTAAAGCTTGCCAACCAATGATAAAGGAATAAACCACGTTGTAACACTAACCCTGCTCAGATCCCACAGGAATGCTTTGGCAGTGACACACAAGGCAAAAGGAGTAACAAACCGCCTCTTGGTGGAATGAGGAGCTTCCATATCACAGAAAAAGAGGAAGTTCCCCCCTCCACTCCCTTTAATAAGGGAAGTTGATCTTAGAGAACTCACAGAAAATATCAGTAACTCAGAATCAGCAGATACTTCATTTACATATCACTATTAGACCAAGGCATAAATAGAAAAGTCTCTACAGTATGACTCATTAATGTGTAACACCTTGGTATTATTCTTCTCACAGAGAAAACGATGCACTTGTACACTTTATAACAAAGTCCAACAACTTAAAAAAAACCCATGCAATTGAGAAACTGTAGTGTTAGTGAACACTGCTCTTCACTGGTGCTGTCTGCCTCTACACTTCAATTAACAGATCTTAACAGGCAAAGTTGTTTTAAAATTTATAGGAACAAACATTTAACTCCTCAGTTTGTTGAAAATGCAGAACACCAAAACAAGAACTCACTCACTAGTTCAGTATGAGAGGGACAGTTAATACACTCTTCACTACCAGTTCAGTATCTCAAACTTGTAGCATCAGTTTCACTGAGGTTATCACCCACTTCAAGATTAAAAAAAAAAAAAAAAAAAGGACTATTTTAAATGTTGAAATTGTTACAGTGCTGAAGAGAAGAAAGCATGGATAAACTCAACCTTTCAAAGACATACTTTGAAAAATCTCATAAAGATGAAACCTAATCTCGATGGGATTAGATACATGGAATACCTCATCAAACAATACCACAGTCAATTATAATTGCTTTCACACAGCTAGCTTGCAGAGCAGCAGTGACGTAGTGTTCATGTATCATATAGTTAATTTAACAGTTTCTTTTACCAAAACATAAATATTCTACTACATCTCTGTTGGCTCCTGTCCAAACTGCTGCATAAAGGTGCCCCAACTTCTGTGACACATGGAATGCAATTTGCAAGAAAGCAAGACACTTAATAAGCAAATAGTAGGACAAAAAAACCCCACACCCAAAGGTATTTCAGTGCAAGAGTCACTTTCATGAGATACATACCTATAGCTGCATGAAAGTGAGACAAAGCATCTGCTAGCTGTCCAGCAGCCAATAACTTCTTTCCCATTTCAAGTTGTTTATCTACTTCTGCATTTATTCCACATTCAGCTCCTTAAAGAAAAACAAAAAGATCAAGGTTTTGAATGACCAGTTTGATTACACCAAATGCATATAGTGATAATACAATACATAAAACAGTTAATGATGTAGAGGCAGAAGTCAGATCCTCGCATACTAAACCAACCTGCAGCCTAGTAAACACATAGCGCATCTTCCCTGTCCCAAAAAGGATGTCAAAGTAAATAAACACTAAAGCACCGCATTCCAAGAAGGCACCAAATATGCATTTCTATGCCTGTCTATACATTCAGTAACATACTTTTGCACATCAAGCTTTATACATCAACTATAAAAACAGTTTCACAACATTTCTGTATGGGCTTTCAATTTCAAAAGAATCTGGAAAAACACTTACAATGCATATACAGCAAATATAAAAAGACTTTAAGTTAAATTTCATGACGCTACTGATAACTTAGGACTCAACTGAGAACTGTTAGCTACCTCAGAGGTTGGCTTCTCATCTACTGCACTTTTGTCTCATCATTTCCAAGGCAAACTGTTTCCAGAGCACAAGTTTTGATACGAACGATTAAAATTCTCACTCCCTTTTCATTTAACCGGTAGTATGGACATCTTACTAAACTGGTATGTTTTTTGAAGCGCCAGTTTTAGTTTAAAGCTAATAAATTGCTGCTGGTCAACCAACAGGGAAAGACTATTGTTGAGAAGTAAGTAGCTGAGTGCAAGTACATGCTGTACATACATCAACTCAGGCACAGAGGTTTTTTCATTAGTACTGCTTCCAACATTCTTCAAATTAGGACAGAACTTTACTACAACTTACCAGCTTATGACTATTAAAACTTTCAGACTATAAACAGTTTTCTTTTACTAAGAGCATACTCTATATATAAGTTTAAGCACAGCAATATATTAAAATCCTGAATAAATACATTACATTAGAAAACAATGAACTACAACTAGTAGGAATCAATTTCTTTCACTCAGGTTTTGTATCGAGCTAATTCAGATAGGCACTTGAATTAATCTTAAATACAAAAATGCAGCAGCACTTTGAAGTCCTTTCTTAGAGTCTGAATAAAAATGTTACACTACACAGACTGAACGAAAAAATATCAAAAAAATCTCACACTGAAAGGTGATTAAACAACAAAGTATTTGTAATGAAAGAACAGTAATTTCTGATCACCAAGATTTTAGAACTAGGAGCTCTTACCACCTGGATCTTAATTTAATTTTCCTTTCCTACTCCTTAATACAGTTCATAATTCTTTTAATTCCACATTATAAGAAAATCATTGAGCTGTCGACACTAAAATGAACAAAATGCCCTCTGTATCGACTGGAAAAAGCTCCATCTACTAAAAGATTGATAAGAATTCAGCAAAATGGATTCAAGGGCTTCAATTCAATAATTTGTTTCAGAACAATGACAGTAAACAAATTCCTTTTTTTAATTAATGGAAGTGACTTTAAAATAAGCCCCAAATCTCCAGTCAGTATTTTTTTTGTTTGTTTAAATAGATGAAGCTAAGATAGTAATTACTTAACATGTAGTCAATGTGGGGATCTTATGAAACAATGCATTTTAAAATCCATTCTAGGTATGTATAGCTCTAATTGATATAGATTATATATTATTTTATATATACACACACAATATAAAATATACATAATATAAATAGTGCTATTGATAGTGGAGAATTATTTATTGACAGTAATTTTTTCACACACAGTATTCTACTTCAAGGTAGCTTTTATGTGAATGTCCAATTTTCAGAAAAATGGACATTCTTCTTTGCCATTTTGCTGCTTCTTTAGCTTAAAGCTTTGATCACCAAGTAGTCCAATGTCCTCTAAACTGACAAAGCAACACTGGAGGGAAAAAAAAAACCACCAACACAACAAGAAAACCAAAACAAAACTGGAAAACAAACGCACTACAAATTTCCCTCGCTTTGGAAGTATACTAGCAACAAATGAGGTATCAAACCACAAACAGACTGAAGTATTTAACATGAGCTAAAACAAAGAAAAAATTCTTAAGCTTCATCCCTCCTGTCTCACCACACATATGAGTATCTGAAATCTTTCAAAACTTGTCAGTTTGGAGTGATATCCTGGAAGCGGGCGGTAAATTACTCTTCGATGAACCTTCCATCCACCTAAACATGGCCTTCAATTTTCAGAGTCTAAAGCATCTGAAGAAGCGTCCTTGTTTCACAATTAGGCACACCAGGATACCTCCAAGAACAGATTTTTCACAATAAGAAGTACCTACACAATTCAGTGTCTTTCATACACATTATGTTCAGTACAGTTTTACAGCTACATAATACTTTAGGCAGGAAAGCCATCTTTTTCAAGGAAAATACTTAAGATAATAAAGGAAGTGAAAAAGGTGACCATTAATAGTAAACAGGTAAGTAATAAAAGCAGGAGCAACACGGATAAAGAAATAAGGCAAACTGTGAAGGACTATAGGTACCCTGCAGAACAAGACTAATTACACTAGACATACATTAAAACTTGGCTCTGAAAGTTGCTGAACATCATGAACTGATGTAAGAATCTCCAGAAGCAGCCAGTGTAACCATGATGCAAAGTGACATTTACCGTAACTACTCAGGAACACTGCATGCTGACCTGATAGTTGGGCTGTTTGTTCATATAAATCTATTGCTTATTCATTTTCTGGCTGTAGGCAAACAATTGCTCTAAATAAACCACCCCACAGTAGACATGTGAAAACTGTTAACATAGGCACTGGAGTCTAAGGACTCAAATTCTCTGTAACCTATTTGGATATCTATTCACTCTTTGGTCTGGGAACGAACATAAGGGCTCAAGTTCAACCGGAGGAAAAAACAAACCAACCCCACAGAGCTCTTTCCAACAGACAGACAGTCATTAGTGAGCTGGATATCAAGGGCCCAGCACTACACCTGAAGTAGCTTTGTATGCTCCAGCAAGAAAATAAATTTATGCAAGAGGTATGCAAGCATACTGTTTATTTTTAAAACCTCCAAGTATTTTAATTTTAATATTATTTCTAAAGGCTGCCTAATTGTTATCTGTTCACCAAGGACCTTAAACAACCACACACAAGAGCCCCAGCTGTCAAATCAACTCAGATATTCTGGATAAATTCAGAGTCTGTAGCCCTGGCACTAATGCAAGAGGGGAGGAGGGAAAGAAAAAAAAAAAACCAAACCCAAAACACAACAACAGAAAAACCAAAACCACCCAACCAAACCCAAACTACTCCCAGGTAAGAATTGGTACCAGCCCTGACAACTCAAAGGAAGTCAGGCAGAAGGCATGTGAAAGATAAGCAGGTGCAGCTAACCTGTTTTTCCAGTTAAATACACTCACTTCAAATAAATTATAACTTCCTCATAGGATTTTTGTTTTATTAGAATAACTAGTGCTAACATGTGGGTACCTAAGTATACAAACTTCAACTCTATCCTCATATAATCAGTCACATCCACAGTGTAAAAAGCTTAAGAAAAGCCTCCAACTTGAAAACAGTTATTTTACATTTGCCTACACACTCCTCTTTATCCCCTGTAGAATTTCCACCTACTTTTTTTTTTTTAAATCTTGACACCAAGCTGGGTAACAGAACTATGAAAATAAACAGAATTAGTTCCAACCGTGTAGCAGAAACAGAATTGTTTCAAAGACAAAAAAGAAACATGCATGTTGCTAATCTTAATTACAATGATCTAAACTTTTTTTTTTTTAAACACATAAAAGAGGTTGATGATTGTCTTGTCATGCGAGTGCGACATCCTGCTTTTGGGGTGTTCTTTGATCAGAATGACCCCGTGTTTAGCACAACAAATCTTAAGTTTGCTGTTATTTTTAAACAGGTTTGGGCTTTGTTTTTATGTGTGTTTGCAAGTATGTTTTTCAAGGACAAGACTGAACAAAGCAAGAAGTGGACAAGCAACCACAGTTTCAGGAGCAATAAGAAAAGGCTCACAAGGAGCCTCAGAGCACCCAGTTGCGCCATGTGTACCTTCCACCCATCAAGTTTTTACACCCTCCGTTTGCAAAGAAAGTTAGTAAATATAGCTAAGACTGGCAAACCAAAAAGCCACTCCCACCTCCCCAAGTATCCTTTGCTATTTGAGGGGAAAAAAAAAAACCAACACCACAACCTCTCAAACTCAGGACAGAAACATAGGGTGTGGGGGATAGGGGCAAGAGAAACACTTAAGGCTAGCGGTCTGACAGTAACAAACTGAGCTCTGTATGCTCAAAGCCCATATCATCTTTCCCTTATTACATTTCCGTTCTTTTACTACTAGGAAGGAGAGGGGGAAGAGGAACAATACTCCTCTACCCTCTCAGTTGCCTCTTTTTGTTGCAGTTAGTGTGGACAAACAGCCATGAAGGATGAATCTTCCCAAGAGGTGATTTGTGTCAAATGGGAGCTTATTCAGTGCAAGTCGGGGTATTTGAAGAGGAGGAATTCAGGAAACACAACAGTAAGGGCTGAACTGCAACCTGCCACATCACCAAGTATTCAAAAACCTTTTTACTGAACTTGTTTACCAGCCAGATATAAATTAGTATTCATAGATATCAACTGTAAGATACAAAGTTAATACAGGCCACTGTTCCACTGACTCATGAATCAGATGGCACAAGGTAGACTTCTATTATCAAGACAGCAAGATGCAAATTTAAATGTGAATATGAACACCCTTGAGTTCAAAGACGAGTAATATTGGGGAAAAAAACCAAACCCAGATACTTAACGTAACCCCCCTAAATTCCCTAACTACGTACTCTGGAAAATTAACTCATGAACTAAAACATTTGTAAGTTCAGTAAGTAAGATCCAGAACCATCACTTCTCAGTCTGTTACTATACTGTACATCTTTATTAATTGAAGTTAAGAAAATATATCCCAAATGACGAAATGTGGCTTTGTCCACACAGCCATTAAACCATATACTTGAAATAGGTTGGCAAATCCAAACAAAAAATCCTCAGCAGGAACATCACTGCCACAGTCTTTGGGAAAAAGTAGTATACTTTGACCACAATTGTTATTTTTCCTCTAACACTACCAGAATACACATCCCCAAAAGGAGTTCAACACCACAGTATGTAGCCTTATACTACAGAGCATCTTTGCCACAGTATGTTCCTGCTGCCACTCAGCCAGCTGAAGTATTCATCAGTTTAGCACATCAACTCAATTTCTAACATCAAACCCGGGTCAGTCTTAAGTCTACGGGACTTATTCTGACTATTGACAGCTTCAGTTCCACTTCAGTCTGCCACTGCCAGTTAAACAACATTCCTCAGGTGACACTCTGACTACGTGCACAATTGTACAACCGAATTATAAATTTAACAGAAGCTTGTGAATAAAAGTTTGGCCATACAGGTGTTGCTGACAGCATACTCTGAAAGTAAACAGGCCACACAAAGGGCAGATAAACTTCTCTGCTGAACTTCAAATACTAGCGGTGAGAGGAAAAAAAAAATAAACAAACCAAAATCCACAACAAAAAACCATAAACGAATGCAACACAACTGACAGAAGCGTCAGCAAAGGTGTAGGTCTGGCACTAATAATGGCTGTGGCACAGGAAGACCACTGAAAAAAAGCCTTTGAACTTGGCAACTGCACAAAACTCATAGAGAAGTGAGAAATTCAAGGCCAGTACGGACCTGGCCAATGCTGTCACACAGTTGCACTCGAGGACACGACGGTATTTCCAAGCCCTCACAGCAGCTGGCACCCTATCAGCAGGCCACGGAAAACGAAGCACACATCAAGCCACCTTAAACAGCACGGCCAGAACTCAGATAAAAACAAACAGGTTACGAGCAGCGTAACATTACACACCCTTCGCGACAGCCCTGATGAGGTGGCAGTCCTCTACCGCCTTCTTCCTCACACCCGTTCCAGAAATACTCCCCCCCCCCCCCCCCGGGACGTCCACCGGGGGCGGCCCCCGGGCCTTCCCCCGGCCCGGCCAGCCCAGCCCAGCCCCTCACAGCGCCTACCTCAGGCCCTCCGGCTCCCCGCGGGCAGCCCGCGGCCCCGCCGGCTCCGCTTCGCTTCTCCACCGGCACCTCGGCCCAGGCGGACACCCGAACACCCCCAACCGCCGCCACCGCCGCCCAGAGCCCGGAAAGAGGGAGGGCGACCGGCTACCGGCTCCCCCCACCCCCGGCCAAGCACCGCCGCGGGCCCAGCCGCCTCAGGCTCGCTTGCCCCACGCCGGGGACGCGGCAGCCGCCCCTACCGCCTCACACACCCTGGGCCGGGCCGGGCCGCAGCTCGCCCGCGCCCCCTCCCAAACCGCCGGCAACAAGGCGTCGTCCCTCCCCCGGCCCTCGCTCACCCTGGTACTGCAGGTCGAAAAGGACGAGCAGGAAGGGCAGCGCGGAGCCCAAGCGGCCGGCGGAGGCCGCGGGAGACACCATCTCCGCCGCCCCCGTCCGCGGCGACAGCCCGGACCGGGGGCTCCAACTTCTCCGGGGTGGGTCGTGGGCGCCTCTGATTGGCCGCGCCCGCCCGCCCGCCCCCTCGGCCGAACGTAGACGGGGAGTCAGGCTGCACGTCCGCTGCCGTCACTGAGCCTGCGCGAAAGGGAGGGGTTTCTCCCCTCCTCCCCCCGCGCATGCGCAGGAGGGCGGGGCGACGGCGGCGCCCACAGCGGGGTTCCCTCACAGGAGATGGCGGCGGGGCAGAGAGTAAGCCCGGAGCGTGCCCATCCGCCTCTGTGTTTTTATCTCGTGTCTTTTCACCTACCCCTTCTTACCGCCGCCAGGCTTCTCCTGGGGTGAGGAGGGCTTTGTTCCAGGCCCGAGTTTAGCCCGTCGGAGGGTGCTCTGCAGGTGCCGGCAGGCCTGGAGAAGGAGGCGGGCTGCTTGGCCACGGCCAACCGGGGAGTGAAACGGCTGGCGTCGGGGCTAATGGAATGAGTTTAACACTTGCCAGTATAAAGGGCCACCTTTTGGGGTGCGATGGTTGCCGTTATCCTTCGTTTTTCAAAGACGGTATCTCTGGACTGCTCCTGGTAGAAAAATGGGGCAGTAAGTCACAAGTAAATTGATCCTGGTTCTTTATTGCTGTGGCTGACCTAGCCATAGAGCAGAGGAAGGCAAGTCGGTTTTAAAACTGCTTGGCTGTCCCTGGGGGACAATCCTGTTCTCCCCTGAGGCAGAGCAACAAAGCCAAGATAGTCAGCATGGCCCTAACTGTATGTTGACCTCCAGGCATGCCAAAAAAGTATTAGGGAATTTACCAGACTGCAGAAAAATCAGTATTTTCATGCTAGAAGTTTGTATCGTATTGGATCTGTAAATGGAAAGCAAAGCCTGTGTCAGATAGCCTGCAATCTAACACGTATTTTTGCAGAACTCATTACCTTTTTTACTAAGGAAAATAAAATGTATTTTTAGTTACCACAGAAAAACTAATCTTGCATCTGCCTAGTTGTTCATAGGTTGAAATTACCTGCTTTGTGTTGTTGGATAAACAATTCATATTAGGGACATATTGTATGTTCTACACCACTAATGTAAAAAAAAACAATTAAAAAACCTTGTTGCCAGGGGAAATCTGCTGAGAAAGTAACAGACTTGAGGCTTGAAGTCTGATTTGGCAACCACAGAGATTTCTCATTCCACAGGTAGTGTCACATTACACTTCTCACCTCAGATAATATAATTTATAAGCTTTTCTTGAAAGATCAGACTGAAAAAGGAAAAGTAAGTTATCCCTCTTCAATGTTTCATTTGGAAGATGATGCTTCAAAGGGATCACCTTGAAATCTGACCTGCAGAAGATATTCAGAAATAAGAACTTGAAATAATATAAGAAGTGATAGATGTGAAATAAATAATTGATAACATTCTAAAAGTGTCAGCATGAGGAGGAACATGACAACTCTAGCAGTATGGATAAGACAAAATATGAAAGCCTAAAACTGAACTGAGCAGAATGCTATCACTGTTATAGTAAATGAATTCCTTTGATTTTACCCGAGGAAAAAAGTATTAGACCAAAGCCAGATAAAATGAATATGAAAGGGAATTTACACCTCCAACCCTCTAAGATAACTGAAAATAAGGGCCTATTAATAACAAGATTAGGAGAAAACAATCTGAAGAAAACTCAGTACCTCATACTGGAATACGAAGCATAAAGATTCAAGGATCAAATCCCTTAAAGCAAGATGTAAAGTATTATGATTAAAGCATCTAGTATCATTTTGAGCAGATGTTTGACAAGCCGTTGATCCTTGTTCTTGGCCCTGAAATACTGAGCCAAGGTCAGTATTTCAGGCTGACACAGTAATCTAACAGTATGTAATGCCAACACTACAAAATGATCTGCTCAAGGAGAAAGCATTTATCGTTGTCACTCTGTGCTAGAAATGCCACCAGGTACACAGAATTACACAGTAATTCTTGAAAGAGACCATAAGCCGTGAAGGACTGTTCTTCATTATCATAGATGTCCAAACTTACATAATTTAGATACTAAGTATAAACCTGGGAGAAAAAAGTTCTTTAACACATATTCTCTTGTGCAATTTCAGAAGCAGACAAGATGCAGAAGAGGAAAAAGACTTGAAAAAACATGAGTTGGACTCGATGATCTTAAAGGTCTTTTCCAACCTGTATGATTCTATGATTCTATTATGACAAGCCAACATTATATTTTGGAATTCAAAAAATAGCAAAGCAGTACAGCTGTAATGCAAAAGGCTTTCAAAGGGATTAATCGAACTTAGACTGGTATCACAAACAAGTTTCTTCAGCAGTCTTGAGTTTTAGAGTGAGAGTGGATGGCAAAGACTACAGTAATGCTGAAATTGGTCAAAAGACAGCCAAAGAATTTTCTCCCAGTTACTGCTGGTAATAGATACAGTAACAGTAGATGGCAGCAATTAGCAAGGAATGACTCTTGAAGCTAATCATTGCTTCTAGTAGGGACGGTGAACTGAATATGGTGTCATATGGTGGAGATAGTTAAATCTGTAGTTTCTGTTTATTAACTGAGAAACCTTCTCAGACATGATATAGTAAGAAGCCTGGATTAGACGTGACAACAGACAGGGTCCTGGAAGGACCCTGGTATGCTTGGCAATACGTTTTAATTAACAGTCTCGATTCCAAAACTGCCCAAATAAAAGTTTCCCGATACAGGAAAAGAAGCAATATAGCAGACTATTAAGTTGCATGCACAGTCTAGTATGAAAATAAAGGAGGAGGCATGAGAGGATGATAACACAGAGATAACTATTCTCAGGGCTGCTTGTAAGAGGTTTCTCAGACCTTAGACCTTGTTTTTGTTCTCGCCCATGTACATCCTCATCAGAAACTTAGCTGTGTTGCAGCTAAATGAAATAGTAGTGTACATCTGGTTAACATGGGATTATTGTTTATGTAGCCACATCTTTTGGTAATTTCACATTTGGATTAGTGTTCCTAGGAGAGGACTTCAGGGAAATGCCTTTTTCTGGGCTCCTTTTGCAGTAAATGGAAGCAGAAAGGCTTCTACAACCTGCATTTCAGCATGAGAACTTAATTTACATGCTCTAAACTTACACTAGGAAAAGCTGATCTTCGTCCATGGACTTGAAAGGGAGTGTGAGGGACCAGGCTTGTTTAGGGCAAGGCTAGCCTCTGTTCCCTCTGTATAGTCCCAACAAAATTCTGCATGTACGTCTTTGTCATATCTGTGATGGGAGAAGTACATTTCTGGTGTGGAATTATTTATCCCTCTGTGCTATGGCCTTGTGTGTAGATGCTATATGAAAATACTAACTACTACCTGCTATTCATACTGCTATAAATATGCTTTACATAGCCCATTTGGTCTTATTTATTTATTTTAAGCATCTTGTAATACAGGTCCTTGAGTCTGCTGTATTCACTAAGCTATATCACTAGTTAATTTATCAACGGGGCTGTGTTATATGTAGGACAGAAGTTGGAAAACGGAAATTGGACATCAGTGTTTCCTTACACTTAAATTTATTTTAATCAGGGGAATTATACTATGTCTGCAACTTTTCTCACTAGCCATGGTAGCAACAACAAACTCCAAACATCTCAAAACGCATCTCCTGCCTAACTTAACCTTCTGGTATAATGAAGTGTCAAACAGGGAACGAGATATTAGGAACCCCATTTTATGCTTTACCTTGACATTTTAGTGTCCCAATTAGAGTTAGCCGGGTAGCAGATACTTCGGGGGTGATGGTGGTGGTGGTGTTTGAATCAGTCCCAATTAGAGTTAGCTGAGTAGCAGATACTTTGGGGGGTGGGGTGGGGTGGGGTGTTTGAATCAGAAAAAGTCTAGAAATAATTCAAATTAAAACCTAATTTCAATTTGGAGCAATGCAACACAAACAGTAGTTTTTCAAGTATTTTGATTTAAGATAAAAACTCAGTTCTGTTGATTTTGGGACAGGGAAGTCTTGACAGAAATTGAATATTTCATTTATTATGAAAACACACCCCTTTTAAAACATTTATTGTATTTTTTTAAGGCATAGAACATTTTTAAATTAAAATGCTGCTCTGAAATGAAAGTAAAAAACTTTGCTTCAAACATTAAAATATTGTTTTATTTCCGAAACAAAGCATTCTGTTTTGAAAATATATGGAAAATTTTAACATTAATGAACTCTCCTCTTTTTTTGATCGAAGCAATTCATTCAATTCAGCCTGTTTTCACAACTAGTTTTGATTTCCCTGAAGCTGTTTTTGGTTTACCTATCATTTATCACAATTTCTTTTCTCAGCTCAACTCTGAGTTTCAAACCTACATGATAACTCCAAGGTGTTTGTTTCTGTGGAGCGTCTCTTTGATTTTAAAAAATGTGGAAAATATCATTGACAAAGTATTGTGCCATCACTGGAGGTGTTCATTCCTATCTTATGTTCTGCCAAAACACCAAGGTCAGCAAATTTCACACTTCAAAGGATTTTGACTATGAAGTTAAAGTGTGCATGTGTGCAACCTTACCTCTGCCTGCTCTAGCAGACACCTCCATATTCTTCTTTCGCAAGTGGGAGTTTCCCATGTCTCTGAAGCAATTATTCAAGACATTTGGCAAAAGAGTACCCCTCATGCCCATTTTTACAAGCATGTAAGCCATAGCCATGTGATGCCATCTAGCATCCTCTTTTACGCACCCATCTCTGAATCAACAGTCTTCATTTATCCTCCGAGTGCTAACAGTCCAAAAAGGTGATAAAATTCGCCTTGCTGATGCAGCAGTGATGGCCTGAGGAAATGAGGCATCCTGCATCACTCTTATGACCAGATATCCAGAGGCCAAGCAGAGGAGATCATCTATATACATTGCCCTTCCTCACATTCACAGGTTTGCTCCAGCTAATCCTTTTTGCCATTCAGTATATCAATCTGCAGACAAGTGCAGCCTAAGGAAGAGCTTGTGTACATCCTGCAGAGTGGCTGGTATG